ATGTCATGAGAACTGGAATGAGGATGATTTTCAGGGATTATAGTGTTTCTTGCCGTGGGGATGGGAGTTGATGTAGAGCATCAAACCCTGGGAGGCATTAGCAGGAAATGCCTGTTTTCGCTGGATGTATTTTCTCTTCCCTCTTCCCCTCTTTCCCAAATGAAGGCTTTCTCGGTCTCATAGCTCTGCATGGTGCTTGTCAGCATCATGACCTTGTTAAGGGGCAGTGATTATCTGAGCTTGTTGTAGATCTGCCATGATACATGTAAGAGAACAAACTGACCAAATTTTAGGTAGTCTGTGCTATTACCAGCTGCATACATTTTCACATTAGGACTTGAATGTCTTCAAAACCCAGAACTGTTCATGAATATTTACTAAAATATGCATTTTCTGCCTTCCAGTTTCCATGCCTTTAAAGCCATGCTTTTGTTGTTCTACGCATAAAGTAGAAAAAATATGTTTCTTTAGTGAAGGCTGTGGTAGTCATATGATCCCCTACGTAATAACTTGGGGTTAAAGCATAACCAAAATGGCCAATAACAAAAATAGATTGCAGAGTTGAGCTAGGGATCTGTAATACATTCACAAGGGCTCAGGGATTAACAGAGTTAATTTTGATTTTGATAGTCATTTTTCCTGTAGTTGAAACCTTGATTCTCAGTGCGGACACTATTTCCAATGTATGTATTTCACTGGTACAAGAGGTTTGGGGCCCGTGTGCTGTGGGGACAGCCCAGCGAAGGGAGGCAGAGAGCTTAGGGTGTGCTTGGAAGAGGAAATAGTTAATCTAAAAACTGAGCTGGACAACGATGGGGTCAGCTGTGCTTGTGGGGTTTTTAGTATGGGGTTTCCCTCTTTCAATTTTTTTACCATCTCCTTTTTTCCCTGTTTGTTCATTCTTTTCAAGTTTTCCTTTGCTGCTGACTGGTTTTTGTTGTTGGTTTTTCCTCCGTGCTGCTTTTGCCCAGGCAGACTTTGAGGCAGATAAAGCCAGAGCAGCGCCTTCCCTCTGGTAATATGCAGGTCACAGTGTCAGCCAGGAGGTTTGGGTGCTGGGGGTCTCCAGAGGGAGCTGGGGTGGCTGTTCCTCATCTCCTGCCCTGGGAAAGTCACTAAGGGCAGCCTGTCCTTACAGACCTCTAGCCCTGGGGACTCTGCAGGCACCTCCTTGGACAGTCCCATGCCTTTGCCATCAAACGGGGTTTTTCTCCCTAGTCTCCACTTTAAGCCTGCATTTCGGAGCAATTATCTCTTGTCTGTCCTGCTCAGAAGAGTCTTCCACAGGCTTGCAGGCTGCTGCCGTGTTTACTCTAAGTCTCTCTCTCAGTCTTGGCACTGTGTTCTCCACGGGTCGAGTGCTTTAGATCTGACTCTTCCCATCTTCTGCACCCTATCTTCATTTTTGGCTTGCAGGCAGTAGCCCTGTTTGTGCACCTTGGCACAGTTTGTGCCTTCGTTCGGATTGCTGGTTCTTGACCCATTGAAACCCTGGTCTGTCTTGTTTGTTTGTTTATCTTTTTGTTTGTTTGTTTGCTTGTGTTTTTGTTTGTTTTTTTTTTTTTTTTCGTTAAGAGACTGCTGCTTATTTTCTATCCTGGATGGCAACAGCCAAATACTGTATGATTTGAGTTCTTTCTCTGTCCTTCAGGTAATTGCAGCCTCCAAAGCTGACAATATCAGCAGGATTTATAAGCCTGTACTCTAGTCCATCATTAGTGCAAGCAGTGAGTGGCACTGGATACACAGGGCCTTCTTGATGCAGCCCTTCTATTTTGCTGCTGAATCACAGATAACTGTGCTTGGCACGTGTTTGCACCCAGCCTGTTGCAGATTAACCCAGGTGCATTCCTCAGCTTGCTTATGGGAATGCAGACAGTGTCCGCATGGAAACTCTGGCCAAGAGGCTAAATAGCTCTTACCAAGCAGAGCCGTATAAAGGAATTTGCAGAAGCTTTTGGAGGGATGTAGAATGTCCTGTCTTTCCAGCTGACCCTCGTGCTGCCCGCCCTGCCTGGGGCTGGGTTTGCCCTGCATGATGGCTGTGACGGGGAGCTCAACCACTGCCCGGGTTCGTAGGGCTTCTGGCAGGGCCAAAGGCAAGTCACGTTTTCTCTTTTGAGCCCATAATCTGGCTCTAATCTCCGTGAGGGGAATGTTGCTGCTGGGAATGACTCAGGTCCAACTGAGTTTGAACCCTGCTTTACCGCAGGACTTGTCTGTGCCAGCCGTGAAAACAGCTTTAGCTTTAAAAAAAAAAAAAAAAATTAAAAAAAAAATCTAGAGCTATGCAGCCCTGCTGTGGTCCTTAGCAAATAATCGTTGCATATACTGGTTAATTGTTTATCCATTAACCAACCGCGTCAATTAATCTGACAAGAGGAGCCCGGCTGTACCTGGCACGGCAAGGAGGGGAGGAGGAGGGAGGATGCACATCCTTGCCGTGTTGGCTCCTGTCCACGTGCTCTTCCTCCAGCCCTGTTCATGTGGTATTTGTCTGCTGGTTTCCTGCAGGTGTAACTGCTGGCACGGCACCTACAAAGGATGTTTGGGCCAGTGTTCTCTTTGACCGTGTAAACCTCTTCTTTTGGAAAGTGCATTAAGTTTCCATGAAGCAAAAGCATCTCTTCAGACTGAAAAAAAAAAAAAAAAAAAAAGGCAAGCTGTGTTTTGTTTCTAAATGTGAATACAGACAGAAGAAATACAAAGCAAGATATTTCCAGCTAGAGATGGCCAAAAAAATTCTTTGCGTGGAGCGCCGAGTGGGAAAATAAAATCGGATTTTATTGTCGGTCAGTGCAGAGCGGGGCAGCGCTGCTGCCCCATGTGGGGCAGCTCTGGGCTCCCTCCTACCACCCGCTGGGGTTTTTTGGGAAAGCCTGGTGGCGTGGGCTCCTTCCTGGGAATGCTATTTATGCATGCCTGCTTTCTAGGGAGAAAATGAAACATCTGAAGCCGGTCTGTATCTGGTGGAATGACTTCACTGGTGGAAGGAAATAAAAATGTACCTTATGCTCTCTGTGTTACTGAAGGCCCCTGCAGCATATTGTTAATAATAGGTAAAGTGTAACGCTTCTGACAGTGAGACCAGGCTTTCCATCGAGCTGTGGTCATGGAGGTGTGGGGCAGTGCTAATGCCGAGTTCCCGCTGCGGGGAGGCTGTGCAAACTGGGTAGAGCCGTGGGTAACATCAGTGGCTTGGTCGTCCCGTGGTTTGGTGTGTCTCCATCTGCGAGGATTAATGCAAACTCCTTTTTTGCCCTCCCCGGACAGAAGGGGAATGAGGTGCCCAGGAGTATGTGGGTTTGTGTTTCAATTATTCAGGCGGATCTCTTGAAGTGACACGCCGGCCCAGCGAGCCCCCAGTCTGGTCCTAAAGCCTTCTCTGCTGTGGTGGCATTCCCAGCCACTGGTGGAAGGTGGCAGGGCCACCAAGACCCTTGGAGCCCTCACTTCTAAGGTGAAGCTGTTGATTCTGCATTTGCTTTGGTATAAGAGAAGAGATTGACTCATTTTTTTCTTGATTCAAGTCTGTGTGGAAATGGATTTATTTTTTTCTGAAGGAAGCTGATTTTATCATGGTTTTGGGCTTACATGGTATCAGCCTTATGTAGAAATAAAATTATGTACTTGTTTCAAGAGGAAACAATAATAAAGAATGTTCTTTCAAAATCAGCTAAACACATGAATTATTAAAATGTTAAATTATTTCCAAATTACGGCATATCTAGCTCTTTCTATGGAGCTCACTCAAGAATAATTGCAGTGCTCTTTGCAGAATTTAACATCAGAAATGTCACACTTATTTTTATTTTTTTTTTTTTTTTTTTTTAAAAATCATTCTTTCACACAATCTAAGAGCTTCAAGTATAAATGGGCATCCTTGTACTGGCTTCTGTAAAATGTTGTCAATTTGTCCTGTCCATATTTTTTCAGCGTAGCTGTTGAGCCGTGACATTTATTGCAGAGCAAAGATTGAAGGGGAATTTTTCTCACAGAAGTGCCCAGGAGCTGGAGCTTGGCTGCGTGCAGGGACCAGCAGCCGGGTCCCCAGCCCCGCGGCGAGTTGGGCTGGTGGCCTGCAGCCACCTGGGCTGTAGAAGGAGTGCAAGCTCCCTGGGGGGGCTGTGGAGGGGTGAGTTCAAGGACGAGCTGCAGTGTCCACCCGTGTTGCTCCCAGGCTTTCTGTGGGCATCGAGGTGCCCCCCACCCTGCTCTGCTCCTGGATAGGAACCCTCATGGCTGTCACTTTTGAGCCTGCTGAGAGGATGGAGCTGTGGGAGGGCAGAAGACACGCAGATACCATAGGCAGTTGTGTAAGGTGCATAGAAACAGAGGAAATCTTAATAGTGCCGGTTTGTGTCACCAGTTCAATCAAAGGGAGAACATGTAACCAAACCACCTGCTGATTTTCTGAGTGAGCTTTTCCTCTGACCTCGGAAACACAGCGGCGTGTGAATTAAGTCTGGGATTTGGCCCGGCATTAATATGGTGTGTGCTTTTTCTGGTGCCTCGTCATTATTACAGAGCTACTTGAGATGATCAGGCGAGTTGATGCAGAAGCTTCCTTGCTTTCCCTTTGAAATCAAGATGTGAAGGTACTCCTAAGCCACAGCCAGCCTGATGCAGGTTTTTGTAGCTGGAAAGTGAAATATTATGTATTTTCCATTTTAAAGTACAACCGGAGTGTGTGAGTCCTGTGGTCCCTGGCATCGGGGGAAATTTTCTTTTGTAGCCTGAAGCTACCTGTGCTTTTTCACTGCTCCCACTGCTCTGGGCAGTGGTTTCCTGCAGCTGCAGGGTTGGGCATTTTGCATCGGGTGTGTGGGATGGGGTGAGTTGGGATGAATGTGGGTAAGGGGCTGGAGGGAGGATGGCGCCGCATGCTGCCAGGGGTTCCTCTCGGCCCCGCTGCGCTAAGGTGTTGCAGAGGAGGTGATGACAGCCCTGCTCCTCTCTCCTCCCCAGCGCCCCGTGGCTCCATTGTGCAGGTCCCTGAGATGTCACTGAGAGCCGAAAGCCATGCAGCTACATCGACGCTGAAGAAGATCGCTGCAGACATGAGCAACATCATCGAGAGCCTGGACACCAGGGAGCTCCACTTCGAGGGGGAGGAGGTTGACTCGGAGGTGCTAAATGACCCAAAAGGCACCGGTGAGTTGGTGCTTGTACTTTCTCACTCCACGTCCTGCCTGGGTTTAATAACTGATAATCTGTTGACAGATGAGGTACAGCCTCGGTGGTTTTACCAAGCCCAGCCCAGCCGTTTTAGGACCAGGAGGCATTACTCTTAGCAATCGAGCTCTTCAAGTCCCTTCTGTGAAAGCTAGTCTTTAAGCTCTTTTAAATGAAACCTGGTGTATTTTAGTGGAATTAATGCTCCCGTGTTAAAGTATTGCAGCTATCTGCTGGCTTTCCCGCCTTCGTTGATCGTTACAAGGCTGTTGAGCTAACGAGGTTTGTGGTCCTTCCAGTGTGCATTCCCTTCTCTGCCGTCTATCACACCCATGGGTTCAAAGAGCCGGCCACGCAGACGTACCTCACGGGATGTCCTGTTCGAGTGCGTGTGTTGGAAGTTGAACGCTTTACTTCCACAAAGAAGGTCAGAACTTCCAGAAATTTCATTTAATTCCTGTAAAACTGTATTAAAATGCTGTTTGTGGCTTGATTTTGTGCATGCTTTTTCACGGGCTGAGGAAGCAGGAACGCCTGTGTCTCAATAAACGCTTAAGAGCCAAGGGTACCTGTCTATTTATAAAACCTAATAAAGCAGAACAAGAAATTGTGAGACAGAGGAATCGTTAATTAAAATTGAATGAGGGCTCTTCAGATGAGTAGCTGCAGGAAAATGATTTATTTCAAAGCTGCATCCCTTGTGGCGGTGTTCTTCTCTGCAGGTACCAAGCCCCAACGTTTACACCATCGAGCTGACCCATGGAGAGTTCACCTGGCAGGTGAAAAGGAAGTTCAAGCACTTCCAGGAGTTTCACAGGGAGCTGCTGAGGTACAAAGCCTTCGTCCGCATCCCGATCCCTACCAGGAGGTGAGTGTGCAGCCCTGCGGACGTGGTGGGCTTTGGGAAGATGTGGTCATCTTCTCTCTTTCAATAGCACATTGGTTTGGCCTCAGTGATTCCATTTACTTTGCTGTAAGGAGGAGAGGGCAGAAGAATTTAGTCTCTGCAAATATTTAGCAGCTGTAAGAAAAATATTTGATCTCCGCGTATTTAGCAACTCTAAGTGCTGCAAGCATCTCTCTGCTGGCACAGAAAGTGCATTAAGTCCCAGGTCATCAGCTTTTGAGCTGAATTTGCCTTGAACTTGGGGAAGGGTTGTGCTAATGGAAACAGTTGGTGTGCTGTGGCTTTCTGCCAGCATAGGCTGGATGTGGGAGGTAGAGGGGTCCCTGGCGTGGGTGGTCAGCCCTGGCCATGCTGGTGTTGGTGCTCAGGGTGGCTGGAAGTGTAAGGGGAAAGAGAAGAGAAGAGAAGTGGGAAGAGAAGTGGTGGAGCTCAGCAACAGCCTTTTGATGTGGAGAAATGTGGGGAGATGATATTAGGAAAAGAGAATTATGAGGGGTTAGGAGCTGGGGAAACATAATGCCCTAAAAATAGAGTTTAGGCTCCCTTTCCTTATAATGGCAAAAGGGGGCCCTCAAAAATCAAACTGATATTTCTGTGTTGCATTTTTGTTTGTGAGCCAGTTGGAGCACACTGGCTTCTTAAATAAATCCAGGCTTAGTTTTTGATTTTTTTTTGCTTTCCTGCCCACCCATCTCAGTTTTTAAGAGCTTGGATAGGAAAAATAAAAGCATTGCAGAAGAAGGGTTAAATATCGAGGCAGACACACACTCGCAGCACTTAGACTTGACATCGGGGTTGGTTTGTCCTTCCAGTCACACGGTGAGAAGACAATCCATCAAAAGGGGAGAACCGAGGCAGATGCCGAGCCTGCCGCACACCGCGGAGAGCACGGTGCGGGAAGAGCACTTCTCCAGCAGGAGGGTAAGCACCCGCCGTGGTGTGCAGGGGCCGGAGGGTGCTGCTGGGCTTCTGAAGCGCAGAGATGCCAGGCAGGTTGCTTGCAAAGCTACACGCTATCAAAATCCCTTGTTTTATTACCGAAACAAAATTCGGAGCTTCGAAACCCCCTTGCTTTCTAACGCTCCTCACCGAGGTGGGAGGCTAGGTGCAGCCGGGGTTCATACAGGCGAAGCTTCCCTCTGCGGTTGAGGAAAGCCACGATGCCGAGAGTGGCGGTTCCCTTCCTCCCACCTGCTCTGATTTAAACATAGAAGAGGCAGTTCACAGAGTCAAGTTGCGCGACGGAGGCAGCCCCCCGGCCATCAAAATCTGAGAGATTTCAGTCCTGTCCCCCTCTGAAAGAGGAGATGACAGTCTTGATGCTGAAGGGGGTAATTTTAGCTGAGGCACGCGTGTTCTGTGTAACTTCATCAGATGTTAGCAGATGGGCCCTTCTGTGAAGAGGGTGGATGTCTTCCTATCTCTTTGTTGCAGCTTTGATGTTTGAAGGGGAAAAAAAAAAAGTCTGTAAAACCCCGTGTTTGTTCACCCTCTGCTCATCGTTCTCTTTCTGTTGTTCACTCCCTCCCTGAGCTTTCTGCTGCTGAAGCCTCAGGTCCCAAAAGGTGGTGCCTCGTGGCTGTGCAGTCCAGATAACCCTCCCTGCTGTGCACGGCTTCGCTGCTATACAGGAAGTTTCAGGAGAGAGATGTTGTTTAAAAGAAGAAGAAAAATGTTTTCTGGATCCCTTTTTTTCCCCCCTCCTTGGTTTCCTTGTGGGAATCCCACAGCCTTCACCATGGGGATGTATAACCCCACTGCCCAGCTGGGTAGCTCAGTGCTGTGATGCTGAGGATTAAGGTCCCAATGGCATTTGTTTCTGTTCAGTTTGGTTTGTGTCCTGTAGGACTCTGCCCACTTTCCCGTGCCCAAACGCTTCTTTGCTCAGTTACCATGAGGATGGGAAGAGTTTAACTCTCTTGTAATGGTTTCTTCTCTTCTCTCCTCCTGGCTGGGGATGACAGGCTCTCCAGCAAGTGATGGCCCAGCCACTGCCATCTCTGTGGCTTTGGGACAGAGCAGCGTGGTCACTGTGCTCCTCACCCCATGAACCTGGTGTTTTGGTTAAATTGGCTCTCTTGGTTGCATCTGAGGGTGTATTTTCTCACACAGCTAATTTGTGTGGGTCAGAAACAGCAGGGACTGATTTTGTATTTAAAGTTGTTCTGAAGCGGGCTTGGTCAAGAAAGTTGACCTCTAAAGTGACAGTGCCAAGGAACAGGTCTGCTGGGGAAGGTACAAAGACAGATCTGTGAACAGTAAACAACCTGTGATCCAACTGTTTATGCTGCTGAGCTGCGATAATGTCCATGAGCACATAATAATGTATTTATTTATCCATTCAAGCTGGAAAGTGTGTCTGGCTTCTTGATTGCTTCCTAATGCCAGGCAGTTGGATTGTGGTGGTTTTCCTTGAAAATTCCTGCATCTTATATAAAGTTTCAATGTTTTAATTGTAGAAACAGCTGGAAGACTACTTGACAAAGATCCTAAAAATGCCAATGTACAGGAACTACCATGGAACAGTAAGTAGAAATTAGTTTGTTTAAATGCCTAAAGAATATTTGCTTTACAAGTGCTGAATTCATTGGAAGAAAACATGCAGCCTATGTAAGAAAAATCTCACAGGCATTTTGCAAGCATTTTGGCTTAGCTGATTTCTCCAACATGGATGTAATATGATTAAAACCAAAGGAAGAGAGTGAATGGCTCAATCTTGGAGGTCATTGTTATAACACAGTGATAACCTCCTCAAGGTAGTCCAGTCCAGAATTTGTAATCACTTCTTCAGTTTGGGCTTTGTATGTGGTCATGGATGGAAATTTGTCTCAGGTTCCTGTTCTGTGCAGTTTCAGTGGACGTCAGTGATGTTCAGTTCGTAGGAGTGATACCCATCCACCTCTGCAGGTGTTTTTTCACTTCCAAAGGGAGATGGTAATTGGCTTATTTCCCCAAGTCGGTAGTCTTTTTGAAACGAGGACAGATGTCAAATCTGACTTCGGGCCTATTTTAAGCAAAAATATTTCCTTTGAAAGCCATCCCCGAATGTTTCTTCAGTAGTCCTCGCCTGTCAGCCTCAGCTGTAACATCTCCCTGGGATGGTAATTTATTTCCCCTTTTCTTGGCTGCATAATGCCTGTGTTCCTCCATCTTTTGTATTATCAGCAAAACCTGATGCATGCCTTGAGTCGCTGCAGAGCTTAGTGACGTGTCTGAGCAACGGGTGAGAACTGGGAACGCTTGGTTTTCAAATAAACTGGAAATACAGACTGAACTTAGGGTATCTGTAGCAGCCAGTTCTCTTCGACTTCCGTTGTTGTTGGGTAGATATGATGCTTTTTCACAGGATTGCAGTTGTGTGGAGATGTTGGGCAGCTCGTAGCTGGATGTCGTGCCCGAGAGCTGTGTGTGCGCTTACTGCAGGGCTTGGTGTGTTGAGCACCGCTTGTTATATGGGGCAAAGCGCTCAACCCAGGGTTGGCCGGCGTGCTTTGGGTTGTAAGAAATCTTCAGGCTCAGGCTGAGGGAACTGTGCTCCTTACAGAGTGCTGCTTTTGGGGACAGGCTGTGGCGCTTGAGTCGATGCAGTCAGGAGCTGTGTTAGTCTGCGTGTGGAAAATAGTCATCTTTTGTTCTAAAGGCAAGACTGGGATAGCTTGGCAATTTTGATCAGTAGCATATGCAGAGCGGGGGAGAGTTATTTTACAGCGCGGATCCGTCTTGTCACTCTCCGGCAGGCATTTATTTTTTTTTTTTCAAATATTTTGGAGCATTTCTGCTCATGTAAGAAAGTGAGTGATCTTTTGACCAGGCTGTGGTTCAAGGCGGGCTGCGTGGTGGGGGCCGGGCGAGGAGACAAGCGGTCCTGCCTTGTCTGTGCAGCTGCGGGCTGCTCCCCTCCTCCTGCGCTGAATCACCCTTCTGTCCCCAGCCCCCAGAGCCAGATGTCACTTTGCACATAAATTCTCAGTTTATTGTTGACTTTCTCTGGATTTGGCTGCAGCGAAGCGTTCAGTGAGGACTTTGCTGCTAACGGTGGCGGCGCCGCTAAGTGCAGCGGGTCCTGCAGGCGATGCTGGAAGAAAGCACAGGGAGAAAAATGTTTCCTTTTAAGAAAACCACCAAAACAACCCCCACCGTTCTCGGACTAGAGACTAAAGTGAAGACTTCTGGCATGTTCCTTGGAACTGTGTTTGTCCTCCTTAGAACAAAATGAGGGCTTTGCTCTTCCTGTAGTTGAGAAGTCTTTTGCCTGGGCGCTGACAAATGCTGCAACTGTCTTAATCCTGGAGCACATTTTGACTCTGGTGTGTTCCTCTCATTAAATCTGTGCACAGAGGGGTTTTTTAAAAATCCTAAATACTTTGTAAAGTCAGACGTGGGGTTGCGATGGCAAGCTGCGACCTGCCTGACGTGTCATCCTCAGTCCTTGTGAAGAGCCTGCTTGGGTCAGTCGCATCTCCTCAGAGGTGTTTTTACATCTGACCTGCACGATTTAATTAGCTTTGCTTATTTACTTCTTTTATTTTGCACTCGTGGTTCATTTAGTGTTTGTCAGTGAGAGGATCGCCGCTTTGTGCACTGCCTTGAGGACGTGCCGTGCGCTGGGAGAGTCGAGTTTGTAGCAGTTTTGCAGACCTGAAGTCCCCGGTGGGTTGAGGATCAGGTCTGTGGTGACCACACGACATTGTAGGGGCTGTGTGTCCTCTAGCCTTTCTAGGTGACGCTCCTGCAGGCTGTGGAAATGCCACCCACCGAAGCATCGTCATTTGGAGATGTGCCAAGCGTCCCTTGCTTTGACTGGGGAGCTCTGATAAAATTTACAGCCTTCTCACAGCCTTTCCCTTAATTTCTCAACATTTGTTGTAACTGAGTATTTTGTGTGGAGTTCACAAATAGGCTGGTGGATGCATTGTATTTTGTGATCAGACCCCAGACTTCATAGCCTTTCATTATTTTTAGTTTTTTTTCCTTTTGGCTACATGAGTTATGATTAAATCTCATGTCTTCTAGTCCTTTCCAAAACCTTTTCATAGTACTTCTGGGCTGAAGTGCTTCAAGACAATTACCATTAAAATGAATGTTGTGGGAACATCAGTGTGTTAATTGTCCACAATTTTTTCTGGGAAATGGAAATTGGGGGAATATAGCCCAAAAGCATTAGGAAATGGGGCCTGTGGGCTAGATTGTATTCCATATAAAAAAAATCATTAATTTGATTTTTGCATCACTTTCTGTACGAGCTGCAATAGTCGAAAGATGCCTAAGCAAAATTGTAGCTAAGATTTGGTTGAACCAGAGTGTGAGGGTCTAACATTTTGCACGAGCTTTACTAAGTAAGTGTAAAAACCTCCATCTTTAGTGAAAGCAGTACAATGTAAGAACTCAAGTATGTGAGGGTGGCTGCTGGTTTGCCTCTGATATGGCACTTGGATCTGCAGACCGTTGCAAAGGTCCCCGCCCAATCCTTCGGTATTTTTAGTTACTGCACTTGAACTTTAGCATGTTTGATATTTTTTTAAATTTGGGTTTAGTGCAAGCGATTTTTTTGGTGTAAGAAATAGCTGGCGCCTTTTGCTGAACAATATTATTCTGAAGAGTGGTGTAATTTCATTTTATGGCTAGCCACAGCTGCTAATCAACTCTTTATGGGTTTTTTTATCCCCCTAAATTAAAAACAAGGGTCGAAATGAAAACAGTGTGGAGCTGCTGAGTTCTTTCTGAAACGCGGATGCTCTATGAAATTTTTGCTTGCATAAATCACGCGTGCTCGACATTGCTGGCAGGACGGGATGCTTTAAAACTGTGGCTTGTGTACCTTGCAGCTGGTTCTCCACCTTTCATAGCTTGTCTTTCTGCAGCTGATCGCTCCCGTCTGGGGTTTTTTATTTGTCTTTTTATTGCTACAACAATGTCATTGAAACTGCGTTCTTTAGGCCTGTATCTCATACTTAAAATATTCTGCTGCAGATCGCTCTGAAACCAGAGCGGGATGCCGGCTCCCCGGGGAGGCAGCTGGGCAGTGCAGGAATTCAGATGTGAAGGGGATGAAAGTGTCTCGCTGCTCTGCATTCCCCTCTCGGTTTTTCTGTGAATGACGAGCACCTCGGATGCAAGGCACTGTAACAGTAAAAATAGCTAATGCAGCAGTAATAACAATAATAATAAATAATTTGATCAGATATTTTCCACTCCACTGAGGAATTGTCCTTCTAACTAGTGGGATTTATTTATGCGGTTTTTGCAAACCAACGCTCCTAATTGGCGCTGCTTGATGAACGTGTTGGATGGGCTCCTGTCACCATCGTTGCCGTTTCAAAGACTCCTTGGCTGAAGAGCAGGTTGCTGCGCTGCCAGGCAGTCTTTCTTTCATTTTTATGTAGTAGCAGTTCTGTTTCTGCAACTAATTTTTCCTCCTGGTTTTTCTTTTTGCCTCTTTGAGGACAATTATTTCGCTGCGTGCAGTGCTCCTCAAACTGCTGCCAGCTTTCTGGCTGCAGCCAACGTTTTCAAAGGGTTTTGACATTCTTGTGCAGGTTTTTTTTGTTTGCCCACTGTGAGAGAGATGTCTGGGTTTGATTCGCCTGATGGGGAATGCCAGCCATTTTCTGAAGAAATGAAAATGGGATCCAGGCAAAGAACTGGCCGGAGACTTCACTTGGGACCTCTGATAAGAGCTTCTAGGATACGCTGGGCTTTCAGGTGCTCCTCATCCTGCTCCGAGTGTCACTGCAGAAACAACTGAAATGTTTGTAGGTCACAACTGGTGCTTTTCCAGAACATGAAGTGAGAGTGGTGATAGCAAGATTGTTAGTAAAAGCATGGAATAGCTTGTTCTAGCCACTTTTTGAAAACAGGCTGAAATCACCCCAAAATGAGGGCATTAAATTTGCCTCTACTGAATAGAGGTTACTTTATGTCCTTGAGCTGCTCAGAGGAGAACAACAGATCCTTTGTTCGTCTCCATGACCTTATTGGTGTGAGAAGTCTGGGAAGGAGCAGCAGAGCGTGAAGAGGAGAGGAGGAAGGATCTTCTGTGGAGCAAAAATGATGGTATTGGGAAGGGAGCCTGAGCCGGCCTCGCCCTAACTGCAGCGTCGGTTTTGCCACAAATGTACTGATATTGAAAATATCTCTGCGACTTACGAGCCCGCCCATGTAATTTCTGTGCCAAATCAGATTTTGCCAATGAGGGCCCTGAAGTTGGTTTGCCAAAGAGCAGATGATGGTGGCCGCCTTGGAGGAGAGCCCTTCCTTGGGTGCTGACCCCTGAGCTGCTGTGGGGCACGGGTGGGCATGGTCTGAAGCTGGCCCAAAGGCTGTCTCGTGTCCCGACTGCGGTTGGGAGCGTGGGTTGTGTACTGGGCATCTGTCCCAGTAGGCTTCATTGCCAAAATGTGGTTAGAGGGTTCCCTCCAGCTTGCTGCTTGACCAAAGGGTAGAGAAGCTCCTGCCCTCTCCCTACCCTGGGCACCTTTCTGCACTTATAGACAGTTTTTTGCGATAATAAATTAAAAGTCTCTGGATGCAGACAAGCCTCTGCCGTGCAAGGCGGCTCCTTCGCAGGGCTGCTCCTGCCCAAGCCCTGTCCTGCTCAGGATGCCTGGGGCAGGCATTTCCCCCGCTAATGGGGCCCAGGGCTAACAACCAGCAGACTGTCAGGAATGTCCCACTGTGCCAAGAAAAGCCTGCTCGGCTGAAATCGCCTGGTGTCCTATTTTTAGAGGTGAATGTAGTTGTGCAGTGCTTTCTCACCGGCTTTGCTTGTTGTTACGTTCCTCTGCAATCTCTGCCGAAGCAGGAGGAGCTGTGAGGAGGCAGGTTGCTTGAATTTGAGATCTGCTGGTAAACCTGACAGTATGACTTCATGGATTTCCCAGGTCGTGCCTGCTGTGGAGCTCTCTGCAGACCAGCAGAGGTCATGGAGAGCGTGCTTGAGCTTGCTCTTCTCCTGCCCCGCTCTGGCTTTCCTGTGGGTTTGTGGCACGTGGGGCAGTGATGTGTGTACAGAGCTGAGTGGGAGTGACCTGCTGTGATGGTCTTGGAGGATGCTTGTGGGTTGAGGGGCTGAACCCCCATGTGGTGTGTGTCCATGGGGTAGGGGACTCAGAGGGAATAGGGAGCTCCTAGCCCTGGAGACTTGTCCTTTTCCCTTTCCAGCCTTTCTGTGAGGGTCACTGGAGGAAGGAGAGGATTCAGGCAACCAGCCAAGGTTCACACAGACCCCCAAACAGTGTTGGACTTGAGTCCTCGTTTCAGCCAGTGATCCAGGAGGGAGGGTGTTGGTGGGTACCGATATGGTATCGGTGGGTATCGGTATGATACATTTGATCGGGATTGTCCTGGTTGCTTGAACTATGTTCTCCAAAGCACATTTAAAATGAACAAACAAGCAAATAAACAAAAAACCCAACCAAACTACTTTTCATGGTCTTCTTGAAGATGCTTAAGTGATGGTCGGTAACTTCTGCTCGGGATCTTCTGTAAGTTCTGTCTTTATGACAAGTCACTTCAATGAAGCAAAGTATTGTGTGGATTTCGGGGTATGAAAGATGGGGGAATATTCTTCTCTTTCCCCAGATGGAGTTCATTGGAGTAAGCCAGCTGTCATTCATCCATGACCTGGGACCAAAGGGCATGTGAGTTGTGAGCTGTGTCTTTTGTGTTATGATTCACTAAGAGCATGGCTTTATAAATAAATACTGTTCAAATTAATAGCTTTCCTGTCTTGCCAATAACTGACTGGGGAATATTTTGCCATCAAGATAGAAAAACTTACTAATGTTCAGACAGAAATGCCACAGCTTTGCGAAATAGTTTGGAGAGCAGCCGCTTTGTGAGATATGGGCTGCAGCTCACAGAGGGGCTTGCAGGGTTCTTCCCCTTCCCTCCCTGCAACCTGTAGACCCGCTTGTTCTTCTGCTTGTGCTATAAAACAGGGCCCTGCATTTCTTTTAAATCTGCATTATTTCCTTCTGGGGGGGTTATTTTTGCCCTTCTTCTAGCGAATGGCACAGAGGCTGCTTGGGCACGGCTGGAGGTGGCAGGAGCCATCCCTGGGCACAGGGGCTGGGGGGGGTTCAGCAAACCTTCTCCACCCAAGAGCCCCCCTGCACCTCCAGGCAAGCCCTGCCACCCATCCTGACCGTGTTTCTGTCCTTGCAGAGAAGGGTTCATCATGAAGCGCTCCGGGGGCCACCGCATACCTGGTCTGAACTGCTGCGGCCAAGGAAGGATGTGCTACCGATGGTCCAAAAGGTACTGCTGGGACGGGCGCCGGTGGTGATGCTATGTGCTCCTCAGGCACACGTACAAAAGTCCTCATTTGTCTTTTTTTTTTTTCTCCCAAAAAGTCTGTGAGGATGATTCTCACTTTTTTACCAAAGGCACAGATTTTCAGATCAAAAGGGTCCATAGGCTATCGCCCTTCACCCTCCCGTGTGGAGGGTGGTGGGTTTTTTTCTTCTGCTTTGGAGTTCATAGAAGGGACATGTTGCTGCAGAGGAAAACTGGGGTTTCCTACAGCCCCGAGCTGGCAGATGTGACAATAATCCCCCAGTTTGTGCCCAGCTTTCCCTGCTGCGGGAGCGCCCAGGGGCTCCGTGCCTTTGGGAGGGGACACGGCTGCTGACAGTGCCCCTGCTGGTTTTCTGAGCTTCCCTTCCCTTCCTCAGATTACAAAAAGCAAAGCAATTAATAGAAACGCTCTCTGGACTGCTTTGGAACTGGATCAAATCAGATGTGACCTGCAGCAGTAAAGGAGCACTATTTGGTGCAATTAACCTTGGAATTATTCCTTCCTAATTACTTTATGCGCTTAAATGACGGTGTTTTCATGGGAGTTTTCACGTAACTTACTGTCCCCATCCCTTTACCTTCTGTGTTAGATCTCAGCGTTTCCTGGGGCTGCAGCGCAGGGAGGTGTGTGCTGTGGAGGAGTATGTGAGTTACCAGCATCCAAAAAACACAAGGTGTATTTCCTGGAGCTTGCCTTTCCCAGGCAAATCTTTCCTTTGGAAAATAGCACACATCTGCCTTAGAGCAACAATTGCTTGGTCTGTAAGAGCTTCCCCGAGCATTATCCACCTTTGGATTTTAGCGTCGCCAGTGGCCTGTCATTAGTTTTATCTTAAAAAAAATTCTGCTTTCCAACAAAATCTTTCTGCATTCTTGCGAAGAAAAGGTCCTATTTCTTCATAGTTTTTCTGACGTTTCTTAATGTGATTTTACAGAAGATCTCTAATGAGTGCACAAGGAGATGAAGATGTGACCTTCTTTCAGGTCAAATCATTAAATTGTCTCAAATTCTTTTTTCTCTTTTACAGTAAAGTGCTTTTTCCTCTTGATACCCCTCAGTGAACTCTTCCCTGTGTTATGCAGAGCTCAAGCTTTAGTGGAGACAGTCACCCGTTCAGCTCTGATGGATCTCGGTTTTCCTTTAGAGCTTAAAAAGAGGATGGGAGAGGTGTTTGAGTGGGATTGTGTTCAGAGTAACAAAAGAAGGGCACCAAATCCCTGCCACAGCCTGCCAGGACTGACCACGTATGCATCAATAAATAAGCAAATAACAGTATTATTTCCCAGAGAGGGTTATTAAAGTGAAGGATTTTAGGACACGTCAAGCTGGGGGCAGAGCTCCCCCCGCAAACATAAGGCAGACTGCGGCCAGCCTTTTCTTTTCCCACAAGAGCTTTGCTGCAGGCGTGGGGTTTTCTACACCCCAAATTAATTTCGTTTATTAGAGTAGGTTGGGTGTGTTATGGCCACGGGGGCTGTGGAAAGGGACGCGGATGAGGACGGTGGGGCGGTGCTGTGGATGGACACGGACAGGACTTTTCAGACGTGCAGAGCTGCCTGGGAAAAACAGAAAGGAGAACGCTTGGAAATGTACCCCGTGGGATGTTTGGGAGTGAAATGATGGGCCAAACAGGGAGGGGAGGTATTTTGGCACTAAATGAGAGGTGGTGCTGGGATAACTCTTTCAGGGCCCTGAAAGAAAAGATTATGGGATCTGGAAGTAGATGAGGAGCTGGGGCTGTTACTAAAGATACAGGAATGAACAGATTTTTGCAGTATTTTCTGTTGCTTTGTGTGTTTCTGAGTGTGCAGAAGAATGAGGCGAAGGTCTGGTGGCGGAGACCTGTGTGGGACAGAGAGGGCTGGTTACCCCAGCTACGCTGCAGGGGGAGAAAAAATTAGAAATGCCATTCACAGTGAAAAATGTGGGTTTTTTCCCAGAGTTGCCTTCAGGCTACGGTATTTATGTAAAACCTGACGGTCATCTCTCATCATGTGTTTCTAACAGGGTGCCTGTTGCTTGGCAATAAAAGCTTTCCAAAATGCCTTGTTCATGTATTTTGATAGGAGTGAAAGTGATCCTAGCATCATAATTAATGTTAGAAATGTCAAGTAACTCCTGTGTAGCCTACAAGCTGAATAAAAATCTGGGATGGAGGAGTCCTTGTTGCACCTTGCCCGATGCTGGGGCACCCGACTGGGAGGTTTGTGGGCAGAGAGGTTCTCGTTGATTTTGTTAGACAAGGAAACCTATGTTTTCAAAGACTTCTGTAAAAAGGAGTCATGCAAATAACTCTAGAAGTCTTATATTAAATTCCAACTCATTACCCAAGTTCGCGAAATAGGCACTTCTCTGCTCAAGAAAACCATACCCTGAACTAGCCCCCGAAAAGAAATTTTACCATTTAGTTGAACGCTTTCCTTTCCCTGGGGGATGGTTCTTACTTGTTTTGGAGGAAACCTTTTTCCATTTTATTAGCTTTTTCTGTGGCTCATGTTTCGAAGACGGGCATGGCTGAAGTACAAGTTACCTGGTGTCTGTGCCCGTGCAGGTGGCTGGTGGTGAAGGACTCTTTCCTGCTGTACGTGAAGCCTGACTCGGGGGCCATTTCCTTTGTCCTGCTGGCAGATAAGGAATTCAACATTAAGATAGGCCAGAAAGAAACAGAAACCAAATATGGGTTGCAGATCGACAATCTCTCCAGGTAAGAAACTTTATTTAGATCCTTTCTAGTTTGCTTTTGCTTTTCTGAGGAGGAATCGATGCTCCTCTCCTGGAGGGGTTAACAAGGCGTGCTGGGCTGACGTGGTGCAGCTCAGCTTCCTGCAGGGCTCAGCACCTGGGCGGCTGCTGCTGGGTTTATACCTGCTGGGGATTTGGTCTGTAGTGCTGATGGTTTCCGATGTCTTAATGAGGCATTTCGAGCCTCAGCTGCTGTTTGTCCATCCTTGCGGTTATTGCCCAGGCCTGGGGGGGTGCAGGTTGAGTTGCACAGGCTGGTTTTGCAGCAATTGCTTACGGTAATTTTCTAGGTGCTTTGTTCCTTTATGCTGCAAGCAGGGACATTGTTCTACATCCCAAAACACATGCTAGTTGAGGTAAAGAGATATTTAATGTTTTTATGGTAGCGTATAATATAAATTTATCTTTCAAAAAGTACAGCATTAGCCAAGTCCAACTCTCCTCCAAGTTAAGCTGATGCTACTAATTTACATCTGGGGTATTTCTTTTTTATGCTCCGCAGTGCGATACTGTGGTAGTCACTCAGAGCAGCTCAGTGCTGATGTATTCTTTTGCAGACAAAACGACAAAGCCAAGTCCTTACTTTTTATTTAAATAAAATATGACTGATACAGGTGCGTTTATCAACGTGTATAGACAGTGAGGAGCAGCCAAATTAAATGTATGTGGCTTCAGCATCCTGCCCCACGCGTCATCTGTTTTACAGGTCGCTGATTTTGAAGTGTAACAGCTACAGACATGCCCAGTGGTGGAGGCAGGGCATAGACGAGTTCATTCGGAAGCACGGCAAGGACTTCCTCACAGAGCACCGCTTCGGCTCGTACGCAGCCGTGCAGGAGAACACGCTGGCCAAGTGGTGAGGACCGTGGCGAGGCTGCGACCGGGTCACGGTGCCTTGGGCAGTGATGGCATGCGGCTGCCTGCGTGACCCCAGCTCTGGTGGATAGAGCTGGTAGCGTTCGGTAGCTGTAAGGACTGACAATAATTAGAGAAGATGCAAAAAAAGTGGCTTTCTTTGCCAGGGATGGAATGGCAGTACTGGTGACAGGAGTGTTTTGGTCCTTTACCGCTTCGCATCACAGCTAATGGCATTTTGAAACATCAAGTTTCGTGTGAATTTGAACACGTTAGGTGTTTATTATCATAAGGATAAAAATGATATTTTGATGCATGTATAATTGTCAGGATGCTTATAAGTTAAAACCAGAACTGCTCTTCCGTTAAAATGTTCTTAGCTTCAATTTTATCCCAGTTTCTGATTCTGGAAAAGCTGTTTCCTAAGGGTTTAGGTCTTTGGGCTCTGTGTTATAAACTCATGGTAGGTGCTGTTGAAAACATCTGCCTCATTGATTACTCTTCCCCATAGCTCCCTCTCAAAGCAGCTGTTCTGCAGCTTGTCCTGGCCATGCTCTTCTTCCACTGATGCTCTGGTTATGTCCTTCATGCTCTGAAATGCAAGATACGTCCTGCTCGCTGCATTTGCAATGCTGATTCTCATTCTATCAGGCAGCCTTGCCCTTCCAGGCGCCATGGGTGCGTTCAGATGCAAATGTCACTCATCTGATTGAAGAGCAGCATCAGATTCGGGCCTTGCAGACTGGCTTTGCGATGAAAGAGAATCAGCAAATGCAAATTTGGGTATAGTCTGAGGGTGACTGGGCTTTATGCAAACAGCAGTCCCAGGAGAAATCCTCCTGTCTGTGTGCACTAAGCCGTTCCCAGAAGCACCTCAAAACGTTGATTCCAGCTGGAAGCAAACCCTCGAGGTGCTCTCACGGCAGCTTCTGCCCTGTAGCAACCGCTGCCCAAATAGTTTCCATAAATCAAAGCAAACACCACTCCGCTATCCTTTCCTGAGAGCCAAACCTAGCTCGCACATCAGGCAAAACCCAAGAATATTGCGTGCAGTTGTCAGAAGCACTTAATAATCTCTTATTGTGCTGTTCTATTAAGCTACTAATAGCAGCATGAAATTCTCCTTGCGTGTTGTCCTGATTCTTGAAATTCTTTCGAGAAGAGAATGTAAATGGCATTAACACGGAGCCCCATCGGTCTCCAGCTGTGGACTTAGTTGAATGAAGGGGGAGGAGACCTAAATCTGTGCACTGTGTTTGCTTTTACAGGTATGTAAATGCTAAGTGGTACTTTGAAGATGTTGCAAATGCCATGGAAGCTGCTAAGGAGGAAATTTTCATCACGGATTGGTGGTTCGTACTTACATATTTGGATGTTGACCAGCCATTTCTCTTGGGATGTTCCCAACAATGCGGCACTGTTTAGAGGCCCTACAGTATGGCAACTAGCCGTGCGGCCAGATGGTTTGGCAGCACACCCAAACATCTCCTTGTGTTGTATTCAAAGGCCTTTTCAGGAGGGTTGGCAGCAAAAGCGCATGCTTGAAATCAACAGCTTGGTTGTCTCCTTCCACGGAAAGGCCTGAAGTTGCGTGAAGGCACCACCTGAATTGCAATTGTTAATGGCTTGAGGTGCTCAACAGGAGTGTAAATCACAGCGAACCCAAGGGGCACAATTGCCTTTCGGTGTGTAAGGGAACATGGATACCCAAACACCTCCAAGAGAGCTCTTCCCATGGGATCCTGCATGGGATCCTCCTTTCAGCTCCTCCTCACTGTTTTGGGAAGTCTCGTGCCAGCAATGAGAGCATCTTGGCAGGGATGTAATTTTGCTCTGCTCTTAAATGGGCCAGACAATGGAGAGGGAGTGTTGTCGTCCCTTCGCTAAGCTGTGTGGCTGCCAAAGGACGTGGCTCTGCCCGCTTCTTAACTCGTAATTCAGTGTTTATGTGCTGCTCTGTTCCTGTTTGAGGCAGAAGTGTGCACTCGCAGGCTCTGGGCAGAGGTGCTTGGCTGGATGCTGGTTACGCCTGCCCGTGTCTTGCCTTTGTGGAGGTTAATGTGGCTGAGCCAGCCTGCACCTTGGGGATGGGATGGTCGGGCCGGCTCCCAAGCCACGGCTCAGATGTCCTCTTTAACCTTGGGCACGTCTCTATGCTCCTCTTTCTCCTTCTGTAAAATGAACTTCTTGCTACTAAACCACTGCCTGTAGGAGCTGGGAGCATTAGTTCTTAGGTGGCAATTATTATGGGAAAACTAAATACGATGTTAGTATTTACTGAGGTAAAAATGTTTCCCAACGTGACCACAGATAAACCCAATGCTCCTGGATCCCCACGTGCAACATCAGGTAGCGATGCAAGAGCACCACATTTCAGACCTGTCGTCTCTTACTTAATGTTTTATTCAGATGATTGTTAATGTATCTTGGAATTCCAAAATTTACCTGAAACTTGGGAGTAAAAATGCTGTTTTCAGAAGCATGTTTTTATGATATAGCAATATGCTTTATCCAAGCACAAGCTCCCACGCTTGGTGCAAAGGTAAAGGAATGAAATTCTGTCACCTCGCTTTACAGGAGTTAGATGAGAGTTAATTATTATTAATGAGTTAAATATTCCTTGTAATCCTTAAACCGATGAGTCAATAACATGTCCTGTTGAGAGATCACGTTGCATTGTCTTTAGGCAGCAAGGAAAATTCAGTACAAATCTATGCTGCTCAACCCAAGTACCAGGAGAACTGGAATCTCACTCTTATTTTTTATGTCTACACAGTTCTTTCAAATCTGCCTTGGGGTTTTTCTTTTTATTGCGTCTTTCTGTCATAGATAGAGTCCAAGTTTCCCCATTTATACATCATATATATACATTTATACATCGCTCGGTCTCACGGGCTGTTGAATACTAAGATGAATGTGCTGGACATACGCCCTGCCCTCTGAAATGCTCCGTGATTAAAAAACAAAGAGCATGATGTTGGGGAATGCATCACTCTGGGATGTGAGCCTTCACATCTACTTTATAAAAACTTTGATTTCTTTGCTTCCCAAGTTGATTATTTAGGCCAATGCTTTGTTTGCAGACTACATACGCTGTGTTTTTTCCACCTCTTTATTTTTTCAGGCTGAGCCCAGAAATCTTCATGAAACGACCCGTTGTGGAAGGAAATCGCTGGCGGCTGGACTGCATCCTCAAGCGGAAAGCAGTAAGTGAGCTCCAGCTGCAACCTTCACCCCGCAGAAAACCCCATGTGCCCACCCAGTTACGGGGTCATACTGGGACTGGAGCGTTTGCACCATTTATTTTGGTAGGGATGAGAGTTAAAGCTGGCCAAGCCTCATTTCAGATGGCCTCTGGAAAACCACATGTTTTGATTTGCTCCTCCCCTTTGGGTTTGGAAGAGCTCAGAGGCAAAAAAGGGTAGATCCTCTGATTGCCCCTTCAAGTCCTCAGGTTTGGGTCACTTCCCATTATGACTACTCCAGCTCCTGGAGGGGACAAAGAGCTGTTGCTGTTCGGTGATCTTCTTGTGGCATATGTAATTTAGAGGTACGGGAAGGATCAGTCATATTGTGGTGACTCTTGGTAGGTGGTTTGTACGTTACTGCATTGTGCAGATCCCGTCTGTCGTTACCACGTAGCGTGGCTCTGGGCTGCAGCTTTCCGAGCTGAAGCTGTGAAAGGTGGCATCAGTCTGCCAAGAAAATCGGGATGTCATTAGCAAGAAGTCGCTTGGTGTCATCCAGCGGTTCATGCTATCTCATGGTAGCCTTCTCACTGGGTTTTCTGTACTTGATACGTGACATAGGCCCCTTGCTACAACTAAACACCAAAGAATTGATGTTCTTGCTGTCCACCTATCATTCCTTGCTGTAGTAAAGAAGTACCTGTTGACGTTAAACATCATCCTAGTGTCTTCCAGCCCCGTTACCTCTGGTGGAGCCCATCCTGCCCAGGCCATGCTGCCCAAGGCTCTTCATGCCTTAGCTCCAGGACAGGTGCTACCATCAGTATTAGTAAATTTTAGTGGAGCATATAAGAAAGGCCAAAGCCTGAAAGGTTTTTGTGTTTTATTATCATCTTTATTTCTGGGGATAACTTATCTGATTAGAAAAGGCTTTATTTTTTGGTAGCTGGCTCTTACTACCTGTATGTCTCCTGGTTTTCTTTGTTCCTGCCCACCGCTTTCTGTATTCTCCTGGCTCCTGTGGCCACTAAGACAAGCTGTGTCCTCCTTGCCTGTCCCTTCTCAGGTGGAGACTCTGGTCATGAGGGTCCTGGTGCGTTGCTGTGGAGAAGGGTTGTGGGGAAGGGGCTTCAGCAAAGCGTGAAAAACCACAGTGTACAAACACAAGCAGCATCACGTTCCCCAGAGCTGGGCTGTGTACAAGGAGGTGGCTCAGAGAGTTGGACTCCTATTTGCATTGCTGTGTTATCTGAGTTAATAAATGCTTGTGTTCAGTAAGCAAATGCTTATATAAACTCGATAAGGCTTTTTTCCCTCTGCTCTAATTTCTCCTTCTCTGCTGTTCCTCCTGAACAGAAAAGCACAGACCTGCTGTTGACCTGGTGCCTTTCCTGGCATTCCCAGTCAGGATTCCCATGCAAAGCTCTGTGCTGTTGCATGCTCTCCTTTCTTGAGTACTTTGAGATATGAGCAAGCAACTGCGACTACTAGCTCTATTTCTCTTTTCTTTAAGCGTTTTCATCTCAGAAAACAGATTATTTTGTTGCTTGTTGTACTCTGCTTTCCAATAACACATCTGGATCCAGACTATAGAGAGTGTGTTCCATGGAGCCAAGTGAGGCAGACAGAGAAGCTGAGTGTGAGGTGTTTATGAATGTGGCTGTGCTTCAGTTCTTCACCCGACCCGTGACAGCACTGGTGCTAGAAATGGTAGCTTGCCCCATGTGAGCGATGAGTCAGGAAGGGAAGCACAGCCGGGGAAGTCTCTTGAACTCTTGGTGTGGTAGAAGGGCAGGAGTCCAGGTGGACGTGCTGAAATAGTCTTTCACTCCCTCCCCTTCCAAACCAGTTATCATCAGTGTCCTCAACCCTCCGCGTGCCTAGGAGAAAAAGAAGGGGGTTTTGTGTCTGACTGTTGTTGATGTGGAAGTAGTCTTATTTTCTGGCAAATGAAACGTGGCCACGGGGCGTGCTCACTGGATGGAAGAATTTGGCTTTGTCACATTGACGTGGATTTTCCTATTGCTATAAATACCTTGAAAGGGTGAGGAGTGTTTTAAGGTTAGTTCCTGGAAATACTTGCCTGCTCTTTCACTCCTGGTATTCCGTTGACTGGACAGGGCGGTCGGCAAGCTGGTGTCTAGGTATAGGGGTAAGGCTGTCCTTTATGTACGTACAGTGATGCCTTGGGCTTCTCTGGGTGCAGCGGAGAGCAGAATGTCATCCACAATTTGGAGACTGCCTAAGCTCTCAGTGGCAGCTTTATGGGAGTAGGAAGTTAAAAGGCTGTGGAAAGTTTAGGTCCCAAATTTAAGCTGTCGAACTCCACTGCGGGATTTTAAACCGTGCTGATTTATGGCAGCTGAAGGTGCCCCAGCGGGTGACCAACGTCTGCCGAGGTTTGGGAAGTACTTGGCAGTTTTGAAAGTGCTTTAACAGGTGTCCTTAGAAACCCTCCTGCGGACACCATTCTGGTCGCAAAAAGCACCATCCTTTGCGCACTGCTCATTGAATTCCAGGAGCTTGTTTAGCTCTACCAGCAGAACTCATTTGCTGCTGTCGAGTTGGTCGCATCCCCTTTAGGAGAGGGATGTCCGTATGACCAGACTGGTATCCTTGTCCTGCAGAGGCTTGTAACTGTAGGCAAGCCTCGGGGCAACATGAAGCAGCAGGAAACTGAACTTCAGTGGATGTGTGCAACACGGTTATATGTGGAGTGAATCACCTTTGCAGAATCTTACCTCAAAGGATGTTTAAAAGAATTATTTTAAATGTTTTTAAAAGAATTCTTTACTGTAAGAATGGCCTGTTGATGGGCGTAGCTCAGCTCTTCACACACAAATCCGGGTACTGAGACCTCCTGTGGAAGCTGAAGAGCTTTCCTGAGCAGTGTGGGTCCTTGCACACTGTGGGGTCACCGTGGTGGATCAGGAGGAGCATAATCAAGACCAAGTAACCTCAGCCTGTGTTTCTGTCCGCGGGCACAACACACTTGCTGCCCCTTAGCTTTTCCTCGCTTCGGAAATGGACTGTGTCCACTGACGTGGCTGCATACCATGTGTTTCTTTTTGTTTCTGACAGCAACAAGGAGTGAGAATTTTTGTTATGTTGTACAAAGAGGTGGAGCTTGCCCTGGGGATCAACAGTGAATATAGCAAGCGGACACTCATGCACCTCCATCCAAACATTAAGGTAACTGTGCATCAGGCGGTCATGTGAAGGATGTTTGCATTTGTCCTTGATAGCTAGTGCTGCCCCTCTGCGTGTTTGGGTGTGAACTGGAAGAACAGTGATTCCCACCATTGCAGTGGGATGAGAATCACCCATACAGGCATTACCACATCTGGTAACTTCATTTCTTTAGGTTATAATTGAACACAAAATTGCTCAGTTTAGACTTGCCAAGGCAACTATTCATCTAATGCACAAGAAACATATTTCGTGTGACAAGTTAATGGGGTTACATCAAATGGAAAATTACAATTTGAGAATGTTGTCTAATTTCAGCATTTCTGTTCGTACATAGATTAGAAGAGTCAAGACTGGATGTTTACGTTCCCATCGTAAATGAACAGCGTTGTGCTGTCCTGCGCTGTTTCGCTGCTGCTCTGCCACCAAGCAGAGCATGAGTAGTGGCAGACGAACCAGTAGATAAAGCTAGATCCAGTCTCTTGAAATTAGAGACATGTACATTTTAGTGAGCAATAAGATATATGTTATGCATGAGGGTGGCTAACAAACTGCTAGAATAATAGATTTATTGTCACTTGATCAGTCGTCATGGTGAAGGGAAGCATCCATTCTCTGTCATCTTTGCAGCAAGACTGGAAGGTGTAACTGGGAGATACACGCTGGCTGTGTAACAGGTTTTGGGAGCAGCCAGGTGAAAGTCTGTAGCTTCTTCCCCAGGAAGCTGGGCTAATGGCTCTAACATAAAAAATAAAACTGTATACTGTATGCTTAGATATAGAAATTACTTTTCCATAAACACATGTCAAAATCTCATAAACAAATGCCAAACAACTTGCTGATTTTAAATGGGGAAAAAACCGGCCAACTTCTCATTTCACGTATGTAGCGGCAACAGCCAAAGAAGTGAGTCAGATCACCAATATGTTGTTTTCTTTTAAAGCAGGCTCTGTGTTTGTAAGCTCAGCGTTATAGCTCCCCTGAAAGCATAATTTTATTTGTTGAAGCAGCTTCCTTGACTGTGGTCCTCTTATGAACGCTGTTGTAAGTGTGACCTGTCCCAACATCAGTAACGGTTGCTGCTCAGCTTCCCCACGATGTGGGCATTCCTAGAAAGGCTGAGCCCAACTTGGAGGGGGTTGTGTAGCTTCAGTAACCACAGGAGTCTGCGTGGAGGCTTCTTCTTCTAAAAACCCCAGTGTTTCCCCATCATCCCCAGCAGCCAAAAGAAAGCTGGGCAGCTCTCTGGCTGGAGGGATGTAACCTGGGCGGTGTCGCAGATCTTGAGTGTTGGTTTTCTCCCCAGGTGATGAGACACCCAGACCACGTGTCCTCCTCAGTGTATCTCTGGGCCCACCACGAGAAGCTCGTCATCGTTGACCAGTCCGTGGCATTTGTGGGTGGCATCGACTTGGCATACGGCAGGTGGGATGATGACGAGCATCGCCTGACCGACGTGGGCAGCGTGAAACGGGCGGCGGCAGTGAAGTCGGTGTCAACAACCAACCTGGCAGTAAGTGAGCTTGCTCCAGCTGCTGACCACGTTCAACATCTGCGTGTCGAGTTCGCGGAGGTGATGAACGAGCTGTGTCCGCTTCTAAGCAGAGGGTTGGGTTTAGGAGGTTTAAAAAGGAGTAGGAATGGGAAGGAGGAAGTATCTGAGATGGGATGACTCTTTGGGCTATATCCTGACCAGCCCTCGCTAGGGCATGCAGATAAGACAGCTAGGTTTCCCCTGGAACTTGGACCAGCAGTCCAAATTTGGAGGCTGTGTGCTTAATAAAACTTAGCTAGAAAAGCACAGTAGGCACTCGCAGAGTGCTCCGAACTTGTGGGTACTTGGGCCCTCAGCGGGTGCCTTGCTTGCTGAGCTTTCTGCTAACCTGGGTCTGGATGCATCTGGAGATCTGTAAAAAATTTAGAGAGGTCTAAATTTATGAGAATTTCCAGGGGAGTAATAATCCAGAGTAAGTTTATGGGATTAAAGATTGTACTGCTAGCATTAATGGGGTTTTGTCGCATGCCTTCTCGGTACAGGCTCTCTCCCTCAAAAGCATTTGTAGTTCCCACCGAAGCATGTCTTTGTCACAGAGCAAAGTTTGGCTCGTGGTTGTTTTTGGGCATTGATATGTGTGATAATCTGTAATTAAAGGGGAACCTGTCCGTACATCATCTACAGCAACATCCTGTGTCTTTTAAGTCTGCAGCGGAGTCGTCCGAACATGTGCCCCTGCAGTCTCAAGCTCTGTCCCCAGAAAGCCACTTGCTCCAGAGGAATGCTGATGATGCCCCAGACATAGCAAAAATGAAAGGAGTAGGAAAACCCAAAAAGTTTTCGAGGTTCAGTATTTACAAGCACCTCCATAAACACGGCATGCACCATGCTGACAGCGTCAGCAGCATAGACAGTGAATCAAGTAAGTAATGTTTTTCAACTAAACATATATAAAGTGTTTGTGGAGGTGGGTGGGTGGGTGGACATGCAGCTTCACATAATTTCTAGGGTAATGTGTTCTTTGTAAGGAAGGAAAGTTGATACATTTCTTAGCTATCAGAATAATAACTATGTGTAGCCAATGTGTAAATTTGTCTCACTGCAAAACATTTGAGGAAAGTTTTAAGTGGATTTGCATTTAGTTAACTAGCAATTGTCACGAGCCATCAGATGACATGATACAGTGTACATGAGCCATCAGGTGATGTGATATACTGTACATGATACTTAATGTTTATACTGCAAGGGAGAATAGAATCCTTCATTTTTCAACTTTTGTTTGTTACAAGTCAAACCGTTTCTGAATGTGATTATCCTCTCTTATAGGCTAGTGTTACCTAGGTTTAAATCGGTGGACTTAAATGGAAATATTCCCAATTTACCTGCTTATTAGAGAGGAGAGACTGTTCAGCAGTGGAATATTGAATGCAGCTTTTAAGTCCCCATATTAAAAACAAAGCTAAAATTACAAGGATCAGCTTGTCATTTGTTCTAGCATGGAGTCCTTCCTGAAATCTGTTCCTGAATTCCTCAGCTCCTGAAGCTGTATATTACTCATGATGAGAACTTATTTGGGTTGCCATCACTCCCTATGGCTGGAGAACGCCTTGCTGGAGCATTGTTTGCCATGTTGCAGGCAGCTCAGGACACAGCCATGGCTTTGCTGCTGCGATATATCTGTTTGGTTTAAAACCAGACAGGTCTTGAATTTTGTCCTTTGCCTGTTGGTCGCTTGTAGTTTCAGCAAATTGAGGTGTCTCTCATGATCCTGTCGTGCAAGGTGTCTTCAGACAGGATCAGGCATCAGTGGAGCAGAAGTGGACGTGCGTTTTTGCCGTAAATAGAGTATCTTGACTCTCTGCAGGTTACTGTAACCCCACTAGGAGTCAACCGAATATAATCCAGAGTTTAAAGCCCCATCTGAAAATGTTCCATCACCACACTGAATCCAAACAGGGGCTCGCTGAGCCTCAGGAGGGTAAGTGGAGGAAGGCAGAGGTGCAGACCCTTTTAGGCTTTAGCTGCCAATGTTTTTGCCTTGTAACAATGGTGAGAGTTAGGTTGGGTGCCAGGATCAGCCTTCACTGCTTGTTGTTCTCCCATCATCCTTAGCACCCCTCTGAGGACATCCTGGTAGAAGAGCCTTCTCCAGAAGCTTCAAAAACTGCAGCATAAATAAATAAAATTTAAGAAAAAAAAACACCCCACACGAAAGAACAACAACAAAAAACCCCAAAATAAAGACCCCAAAGAAATTTGCAATAATGACAGCAGGGAACAGTTGAGGAAATAGCTCTGATTCTGGTATATGATCATTTCAGCAGTTCTCTTCCTGTAAAGGAAAGGACTTGTTACTGGGATTGGGAACTTCTGCATGGAATATTTTAAAATAAGCCAAATGCAGGAAGACAAGTGCAGAGAGAAGAACCAGCAAAGTGTCGTGTCTACTGCCAGACCTATGTTTGGATGGAAACTTGGGGGGCTCTCCGTTTTGGCCCTTATTAAAATCGATGAAAGCATACTTGATTGAGACAGGAATTGGGTGGTTATGAGCACCGAGCTGTTCTGATCTCGGGACAGACGTTGAAAGGGCCCATTTCAGTATGGTGCCTCGTCAAGTTGCCTTTGAGTTCTGGTACGGAGTGAGGAGCGGTTCTTCAGCATCTTCCTCTTGCTGACGCCTTCCTCTAAGGTGTTGGTTGCCAATCCTAAAACATGGGTTGCAAAGTAGTGGCAGGTAACAAGAAAGAGATGCATTTGCTTCATGGAAGTGAAGTGTGGTCTCCCCTGTGGTCACCTCATGCTCATTCGTGAGTCGGCATCCGGTACGTGAAGTACATCCCACCCATTCCCATTCGATCGTGCTGAGTCAGCGATTCCCCAGCTCCACCTGGACTCTCACTAGAAGCTCAAGCTTCCCGAGGCAGCTGCGGTGCATACCTGCTGCATGGCGTTTCTGGCATGGCTTGGCTCGGCTCAGCTCGGCTCAGTGGGGTTACAGCAGTGCTGGCAGAGCTTGCTTCGTGTAAACTGGTCTTGTTGCACTGCTGCCAGCGTGTTGGCTGTTGAAAGGGTTTTTTTTTTTTTGTGCTAAGGTTGTGTGGTGGTGTGGTTGGGTTAGGAGAAGGCTTCTGCTGTTGGCATGTTACTGTGTAATTGTCGCACTAGTATGTGGTACAGTAGATGAAGGCAGCTCTCGTGGTCAGGAAATAGTGCTAGGTGAGTGTTTATAGTCTAGGCCAACATTTTTGGTTTTCTTAGGAGAGAGGAAAAACAGTTCACTCTGCACCCAAAAGATGCGCTCTAGAAAAGGGATCCTGTTAGGAGGGAATGTCCCTGGTTGCAATATTTTAGACTGTTTTTAATCACCGTCAATTGTGAATTCAGGATCCATTTGTTCCACATGTAAAATTCTATCAGAAGATGACATTGTTATTTGGAAAAACCAAATCAAACAAACAAACCCCACAATACTTAATGAGGCAAGGTGAGCTTTTTAACCATCTCATTCTGGTTAATAAAGACTAGGTCCTGTTAGAGGAGATACACCCTGCTATAGAGGCAAAATAATAAACCCTCTAGAAGAGAAGTTGGAATTAGTTCATTAGCATTGTGAAATATATTAAGTAGATGATCTGTGTCGTGTTCCTGTACATATATCCACTGAGGTCAGTTGCAGCTGAGCACACATGGTAATATTTAGGTGTCGTAGGGCTGTGGAAAAACAAATGATTATAGGATGACTTTTTTTTTTCAGTCCAGTGTAGAGACAGTTCAGCATCTGCTTTTTGTTTCCATAACAAACTCCTATATATTACCTGTCCTGGTTGTTTAGCAAATGTTAAAATAGGGAAGGAGAAATACTAATGTGCATCCTTTGAAAGCAACAGAAAGACGAGGGAGAAAACAGCTTCAGCCAGCCGGGACGGGCAAGTCCCACCAGTGCTTTTCCGTGGCGGTGAGTCTCTCGCCAGCGGTGTGTGATGGACAACCGTGACAGCTGAGCGCCTGTTTTCGTTACCTTGTTTGCCTGTGACAGATAAAGGATCCATCCGCAGCTTGAAGACAGGTGTTGGTGAGCTGCTTGGGGAAACCAGGTTCTGGCATGGAAAAGACTACTGCAACTTTGTCTTCAAAGACTGGGTTCAACTTGACAAACCTTTTGCTGGTAAGTGCCTTTGCACCCTGGAAGCCATTACGTTCCCCTAAACCCTCTTCTGCGTCTTTTCAGTCTCAAACCATGCTTTTTCCTGCTTCTGAGCCAGAAGTAATGAGGCTATTTTGGTTTGGCTGCTAGGAAGAAGCAGCAAAACTCCCTTTGTGAGGTTCTAGGGCCAATTATGCTGTTATAGTCCATGGAGTTGGGCTGCGGGCGACCGCATGATGTCTGAATTCATCTGCACAGCCCTTGGTGCTGTGTCCCAGAAACTTCGGTTTGGGGAGGGGGACGCTGTGCTTTTCCACAGTCGTGTCCTTTGTCTGAGGGGGTCCGAACATGCTTTCCTGTCCCGTAGACTTCATTGACAGATACACCACCCCGAGGATGCCCTGGCATGACATCTCCTCCGTGGTGCACGGCAAAGCGGCACGCGATGTCGCCCGACACTTCATCCAGCGCTGGAACTTCACCAAGGTGGGGTGCGGGCATCGCCGCTGGGGGCACGGAAATAAAAGACAGCCCCTGCCTCATCCACGTGCCATCCCTAGGCATGTCTGTTGGTATTTTTTATGTCATTCTGCTGTGCTGCAAGATCTTCAAAGGTTGTTTTGGTGTGTTTTTTTTTTTTTTTTTCTTTTTTTCCCCTGGGCAGATTATGAAGCCTAAGTACCGGTCCCTGTCCTACCCATTCCTGTTGCCAAAATCTCAGCAAACTGCTAACGAGTTGAAATACCAGGTGCCCGAGGCTGTTCATGCCACAGTCCAGGTGGGTATTGATGGTCTTCTGCTCACCTGCTCTGAAGAGAGCTTGTTTTGGATCTTTCCAGTAGGAAGATGCCTGACAAGACCCTCTGCAGAACTTGAAAATGCAAACTTAAAAACTCTTATTTAATTTATCTCACGGCATAGGTGGTCAGTCCTCAATGACAATAGAAAAATGCAACTCTTTCAGTAGAGATGCATTAATTTTATACCTCTGTCTTTGAGATGAGAGGACCAAGCTGTAGGCAGTACTCAAGTTGTGGGAACACCATGATTTTATCTAGCTGTGTAATTCTCTGTTTTGTTTTCTGCTGCTCTTCTTCTAATGCCTAACACTTGGTTTTTATGTTTTGGAAAGGCCCGATGGGTTGAGGTTGCCCACTGAATATTTATTTTAGAGCAGTCTACCACGCCCCCGACGCCTCGCTCAGACGAGTAGTGGTCAGTTAGAGCCCAGCATTAAGTGGAGTCTCGGGGCTGTTGCTTTCTGCTTCGAACTTCATCTGCATTTTATTATGCAGCCACTCAGCCCTGTGGGTCCTCTGCAGTGCTGCACAGTCAGCCCACGGTCTTGTTTGTGACAATCATCCTCGCAGTCCTAATTGCCGAGATACCGGTATTTAAAACCCTGTTAGCTATACTGAGTGTATGTATTGAATACTACTGATACCCAGAGAAACGTGGACTTGTCGAAGGATACAAAGTCAAAATAGTTATGCTGAAGCAGCAGAACAATTGTGTGTCTCCGTGGATGAAGAGTGTATGAAATAAGAGCAATTAGATCAAAACCAGGAAAAATGCATGCCTTTGCTCTTCGTAAGGAGTGGTCCACCCAGATGACAGCAACGCTTGGGGAAGCTTAGTGTAACAAGATGCATTTTTCTGGGTTTGTGGGCTGCCAGGGCATTGTCTGCTCCTCCCCACGTGGTGTGAGGGTTGGCCAGCACAGGGATCTTGTCGTGGATCTTGGGCGTTTTACATCAGTCTCCAAAACAATATTTGCAGCTTGTTGAGAAAAAGTCTCATCGTCGTGCTTCCCCGTGGCTGTAAATGCCTCCCCGGCTGTGTCTGTGACACCATCTTTTTGGGAAACTTTGTTCTCATGGAAGTGAGGGGGCTTGTGTTCCCGGAGCGTGCTCTAACCACAAGGTACGCTCCAACTTTTAAATCATGGGGTTTGCTGTAGCAAAAACTTAAGCTCTGCTGATGACAGAACTGGAAGCACTTCCCAAAGGGGAAACTAAACTGAGTACAGTCTGGGTCCAACTTTTCTTCAGTCTGTACTGCAGAGCTGCTGGCTCGGGGCATCAGCCCGTGGGAGAGGAGGGTGAAGCTCAAACGGTGACTACACCAATGCTGAGTGATGGGTGAGCTGTTTGAAAACTAGCCTCACTACAGCATTGTTGGGGCGTTGCAAATAACTGATACGCTCCAGGAAGTGAGGGGCTGTTCTCAGGGATGCCATAAACGATGAAAAGAGAGCAGATTTGTCTTGTAAATTATTCATTTGAAACCACCTTGCTCGTTTCTAGTTTATATTGAATTGCAGCTTTCAGAAACGTGTCAGAGTAGCCCAGCCCTGCATACAGGCAGATAAATAAAACTACATGATATTAGGCTGAAAACATGTTGCCCTGCAAGGTACCAGCCTTCCTGGTATGAGGGAAGACTCGGGGGGAAGAGCATTTGCAGCACCAAGCACGGTGGAAGCGGTGAGGGTGGCTCCTTTGCCCAGGCTGGTGCACTCTGCCTGGATGCAGGTCCCTTGGCCATCTCTGGATGATCTCCTCGAGCTCCAGGGCATGGTTTTGCGTGCACATACTGTAATTTTTGGCTGTCTCCTCCATAATGCTCACATTGGCCTGGTTTCCACTGATCCCCCGATGACACAAGTGCCCCGAGCATCCCTGCAGTCCCCGCTGCAGGCCAGTGAGTGGTCTGGGCTCTCCTCCTGAAGAAGGTTTCAGATTTGGCTGCTGCAGTAGATGGGGAGAGGGGAGGACACCTGCAGCCCGGATCTGAACCCCGTGTCCTTCCAGTTGCCTTTTCTGGAGCTCCCAGGGTGTGCATCAAGGTGTCCCTTTGTGACTTCTCCTTTCCTGCAGTCACAAGAATATCAGCCCCTTGCCTGTCCAATATGTTTCAGGCCAGAGGGCTACAGGTGCTCGAGTCTCCTTTCAGCGGTACAGTCCAGCACAGAAATAAGCAGATACCCTAAAATCCTTCACCAGCTTTTTTTATCCAGAAAAACTAGAGCAATATGGTTGCGCTTTGTATTGAATCCTTTGGCTGGTGTGGGCCAAGCCCATGTTATCCCCGTTTTGGTGCTGTGTAGGGGCTTTATAGGCAGAAGTTACTGCCCCGAGGTAAAATCCAGCATCCAGTGACTGTCCTTGGCTGTTGGGCGATTGAAGAAAGTCTGGCTGCTGGTTTTCTTGTTTCTGCGCTTGTTTTGCTGATCTGTCTTCGATTGTGGGCAGATCAGAGGAAGGGAAAACACAAAGGATCTGTGGGGATTGCAGCGTTGCTGCGAGCCGGAGCCGCTGACCTGTCAGCAACAGATTTTTGACCTCGTTGTACCATGTGGTTTTGCTCTCCTTTGTCAGAGGAGAGGAGCAGGAAGGCGTTTTTGGGAGGGTGGGGATAGTCAGAGCGGCGCTGACAGGGGCTTTCCCCTGGGCAGGGAGGATGAATGCAGTGTGCATGGGAAATGGTGTGGAGGTGCGGGCTGGGAAGGAGAAAAGGAGCCTGTCGGCTCCATGAGTGAGTCAGACGTGGTCTCTCGTCCTCTTTCGTTTGAACTTCAGGGCTTTGCTTGCAATAGCAGTGTGATTGCACGCTGATTTTTGCAAGAGTCAAATAGCCATCTGCCAAAGGCAGTGCCAGGTTTTTTTCCATCTCACTGTTTCCATTCCAGAGTTTGCAGTTATCGGCCAAAGCCAGCACTGCAAAAGATGTGACGTGGTGAGGCAATATCCAGCTCCTGATGTAAATGCAATGAAAATTTAATGCTCTGGCAGTGGGTAATGCCCTTACGTCTTTGAAGTCTGCGTGAGAGCTTGCATTGTTCGGGGTTTGTGCACTAACCCACAGCAAACATCAAATTTATTACTGTTGTATCACTTGAAGAAGTTAAAGGGATGACAAGCCCAGCCCAGACTCAGCGCTGCTATTGAGAGCCTTGAGGGAGAGGAGAAGAAGGAGCGTGGAGACACCAGCTCTGGTTGGTAGGGGCTGTGCTGGGCAGTGTGTGGCCTTTCCTCCCTAGGAAAATAGGTTGGGTTTGAACCAGCTCACTTTAAATACCTCGACAGGAAAGGAGAGATGTCCAGAAGTGCGCCGTGATAAGGCCCATGCAGAGCCACCAACGTTGGTGACCTCGCCCTGCCACCTCCATGCCTGTCACTGGCTGCAGAGCTGTGACACTGAAGTGATCCAGGTTAAAAATAACTTTATTTCGAGGGGGTCCAAGCTGGAACACCTTACGCCCTTTCTGCTGCCCCCGCCAGCATCTTCTGACACCTCTTCTTCCCTCCGCCCGTGGATTCAAGGTTGTGCCTGACGCAAGCCTTTTGGGTGATGCTGAGGCGGCTTTTTAGGATGAGCCATGACACGTTGTTCTGGGGCGAGGGATGATGGTCCTGTAACAGCGGGCAGCCTGGTGTGTGGAGGGAGCTGGGCTGCCAGCGTGAGGAGGGGTGAAGGGGAAGGCAGCGAAGGGCAGGTAGATGATGCGCTGGGAAGCCACGGTGCTGGGAAAGGATGGTCCTGAGTGATGGTTCTGTCGTGTCAGGTGGCTTGGAATAAACTTGTCTCCCAGCAGTAAAGTTGTCTTTCAAAGCAACGGGCTTCAGTGCCATCAAGCTCCCAATTCAGAAAAGGACGTTTATTCTTTGTTCCCAGCGGTTTCAGCTGTTGCTGCTGTAAATGAGGGCGTGGAAGTTACTTTGTTCAGTGCAGGGCTCAGCAGCTTCTCTTGAAAAAAGAAGCAGCTCGTTGGAGCGTGGACAAAGTTAACTAGCAAAAAAAATAAAAGGTTAAATATCAGTACTTTGTACACTGGGAAGCTACAGTCTGTAGGTTTCTGAAGTGCAATATTTGCTAGAGGTCCCCTGCCCATGGGGACGCTTTGTGGCCCCAGATTTTCACCTCAGCAGGACAAAAGGCAGGGAAGGGTCAGCGTGGCTGCTCACACTGGCTGTGCTGGTGAACGGAAGTGCTGCGCGCTCCTGCCCAGGCTGCAGCCTGAGCTGCGTGTACAGAAGAATTAGCCTGCTTTCTACTCAGAAAAGCTGGTTTTCTGTCCTTCTTAACACAAATGGTGGAATTTTGTTCAGCGTGCTCCATCTGCCGTGGTGCTCAGTGGGGTTTCAGCAGCGCCCAGCCTGGGAGCACGTGTGGGAGCACACCCGCGGCGTTGGCTTTGCAAACCAAAGGGGTGATGGAAACCCCACGGGCCTGAGCAGCCTCGCCTGGCGGAGATTTAAGCAAGCGAAGGGCAGCTGTTTGGGCCCAGCAGAGGCTGGGGTGGCCCTTGCATACAGGCTGGCTCCCTCACTGAAGCATCTGTGGCCGCACCGTGCAGTTTGGGAGGCTGCAGGGTGCTCCCTCCTGTTGGCCAAGCAAGCAGCCACATAGGAGAGTTGCAGGATCTGTTTTTCAGTGACCCGTGGGAGAAAGCTCCTTCTGTCCCGGTGAAGGAATTAGCTCGGGAGTTGTGTGCTGCTTAACAGCAGTGCCCTTCAGTGCCACCTCCAGGCACGCTCCGCAGATGAGGGGGTTGGTTTGGTTCAGGCGTGCAGCACCTGGACCAAAGGGCCAAATCCTTACCTGCTGGTATACTACAGGTAATTCATTAGCCCTCGGAAGTCCTTAGCCATGCCGTGGCCAGCAGCCTGCTTTGATGGCGGGTGGTGGTGACAATGTGACAGCAGAGCTCGGGGTCAGGGTGTCGGGGGTGCTGGTGGGACAGGGAGAGTAACGTGGAGCAAAGCAGAAGCCGGACACGGAGAATTAAAAGAAATCCATAGGAGGGATTTCCAGAGAAAAATGTTGTTGGGCCCTGGAAAGGATCAGGATTTCGCATGTACTGGCACACACATCTCGCAGATCCTCAGGATTTATATCTTGCCCTGTGTGTAACTGGCCCCGAGTGCTGGGGTAATGGCTGTATAGAGATATTTTAAGGCTATTGGTTCAGTGTTTTTTGTCTTGACAATGTTTAAACGCAGAGGCTAATTATGTCCCCTGAGCATGTACCCTGCCAGCACTTAATTAAATACTAAATTTCCATCTAGGCAGACGTCACTGGGGGCATAGCGCGGTTGCTTCTTGACTCAAAGCACAGGAGTGGGGAGATGCCACAGTATCTCCGTCCGTCGGGGCTTGCTCAGCCTGGCCGAGAGCATGAACAAAGGTTGTTTCTCATATTGGTTTGGCTCTCTTGCACAAGAGCTGCGGAAGGCAGGGGGAGAACGTGCCCCGGGGATCTCGCAGTATCTGCTTAAAATATGGATTTCCAGTAAAAATTAATAAATAAGTATGCGCAGCTGAACTGCTATGAATTTTAAAAGTCATATCATCACGAAGCAGATGGCTTGTGCAAGATTTTGGCAGAAGAAATAAATGACCTCGAGTGCTCAGGACAGAGACGTGGCCTGCGTTACCAGACTGACTGTATAATTACGTACCGCCTGTTTCTGGGGAAGAACACGTTGCCCCAGCTGGAGACCAGCTTTAAATATTGCTAGGGAGGAGATCACTGATTAGATGTGCACCCCTAAAGCCTGGGAATTCAGAGTGATTTCAAAGCAGTTTTCTCATAAGACCTTAAGCAAGAACAGAACTTCTGTGGTGCTTCTACGGCATCTAAAACCGCTCAGGCGGGCGAGGGCAGTAACGCAGTCAACGGGACAGGGCACTGTGTTTTTAATCAAAATGTTATTAAGCATTAATACTATTTTTGAGCATCCTTTTCTCCTTATTACAAAGGCGGTACAAATGGTGAATGTTGCACGTATCACCGCCTTTAGTGAAATACTGGCAAGAGAGCGGTGCCAGGGAAGAGCATTCCCTCTTAAATAATTCGGTTGCAATGCTGTGCCGGCCTGGATGGGAGAGAGCTGAGGGTGGTTAATCTCTTGCTTTCCAGGTGATCCGTTCTGCTGCTGACTGGTCGGCCGGCATTAAGTACCACGAGGAGTCCATCCACAACGCCTACGTCAGCGTGATAGAAAACAGCAAGCACTACATCTATATAGAAGTGAGTGGCCATGCGGGAAAGCAGCGGGGGTCCTGATGCTCTGGGCATGGCTTGCAGCCATCAGGAGGACCAAACTTCTTGAAGGTTTTGTCTTTTTTATGGATTTAGGTGTATATCATAGAATATGTCAAGCTGGAAGGGACCCAAAAGGATCATCGTGTGGGTGTTAATACAGAATCTGCTCCGCGTTTTTGGGCTGTTTCTATTGACTTCAGGCTGACTGCAAAAGGAGACCTCTCCTCTATGAGCCTCTTTGCAAAATTGCCAAAACTTCCAGGACCCGTGCAATAGTTTTCCTGTGTCCTCCGCGGCTTCGCAGCGTCCCCTGTGTGTGCCCAAAACTCCCACTCACAGGGCTGGTCTCACATCCGTACAGCCTGGCGCCACGTGAATCTCCTGCATCAGAGTGACTCCCAGCACTGGCTGAATGGGGACACTTATTCTCTTTTTTCTTTTTTTTTTTGGCCTCCTATTAGGATGTTCTTTGTGTGAACTTTCTAAGGAGTGTGATTAATAAGGACTAATTCATTCCCTAAGTGAGCACAGACACATCATTTAATAATAAATTAAAAAAAAAAAGAAAATCAGCTCAAACAGCACACAAACCCAGCTATCTTTAGTCGCTCTTGGTCTGAAATAAAGCATGCAAATAATTTTTTGTATGTTGCAGTGTCTGACAGTAGCTTTGCTTGCTTTTCCTGCAGAACCAGTTCTTTATTAGCTGTGCCGATGACAAAGTTGTCTGGAACAAGATCGGCGATGCAATTGCTCGGAGGATACTTAAAGCTCACAGGTAACCTGTTCTTAACAAGGCGGTGAAAGTCTTCCAGGTGCGTTTACGTGGTGTGGTGTAAAATAATATCTTACTGGCCGCAGCTGTGCAATAGCTTTTCCGATGCGCAACCAACGTGGCCAAACATCTGCTTGCGTTTGCGGCAGTGAGACTCTTCGGTGGTTTCTTTGCAGCCAGAAGGTGATTTTCTGGACTTAACCCTGGTGCAAATGTATTTTTGACTATGGAACTTGTTTAAAAGCAAGTCCTTTATACTCTGGTTCGGTGACACCTTTGCTCCATAGCCAACCAGTCTTGAAGTGTGGGGGTAAGGCAAGTTAATGGGTGAGAAGGCGGAACTAGGATTTGTGGTTTATTTAAATTATCTAGAGAGAGGATTGCCTTCAAATGGGGGAAGCAAACACATGTCGAGGATTTGACTGCAGCGTTCAGCTATTGTTTGAACAACTTTTTCTGGTAAGTGCTGGAGGGTATTTACAACCTCCAGCCATTGCCAGGGGACCATCGTTTGTTCCTGGATGGATCAGATCCAACCATGTTTTAGACGCTGCTTTTACTTCAGCACGTCTAACCCCGTGTTAACATCAATACCACAGGTAGTGGCTTGTCTTCACTTTGATCCTGGGCAGCCTTGCTTAAGGTTGCTCCCCTGGAGTCTTTCTTTCTTTAAGATATATTTATGTCATAGTCTAAAACTGTATCCTGGCCTTGCTGCGCTGGTATATAGGAAACTTTCTAAACTTCTCCCTTTCAACTCTCATGGGCTTTTTCATCACATGTGGAGACGTATCATGCAGTGATTTTGGTTTTTCTTCCCAAATTGTAGTTGTCCAGAGCTGTGCAGGGCCTGCTTTCCCAGAGGTGCGTGTCTCTGGAGTTGCAGCAATTTCTCTCGCTTTGACACTTGAGCTTGGAGATTCCCACTTGGGTAAAGGCAACCAAGCTGAGACAGACAGACAGACACCGGGGTACGGGCAGATGCTGCAAGGCCACAAGAGCTGCCGTGAGCCAGGCTTTGTTCAGAGGCACTGTGGAAGGAGAAGCGCTGTTCGGACCAGGAGAGCATGAGTGTCACCTGCTGTGCCATTAACAACAGGGCAGAGTAACAGGGTGGAGTTGCTGGTAATCTGTGAGCTGCAACACATAGCCCAAATAATTGAGATTAGCTAAGGGTGAAAAGATGGGGTGGATTTTCTCACCCCAGGTAGATGAGGAGTGGTGCCAGTGCTGCTGGAAATGGTGTTGCTGGTGTTTGGATTGCAACCTCGAGGCTGGCAGGCAGCTGGACGCAGCATCTCTGTGCGGTGTCCCCCCCGGAAAGCCGCTCTGGATTGTCCTCCCTGCCTTTGGGAACGCTTTGCCACAGGCCCTTTGCATCGGTTGCCTGCTTTTAGCAATGCTGCTGAGGTAGCAGCAAATTCTCCAGGTAATCTGCTAAGATTTTTCCTCTTATGTAAAGTTTATATAAAGAAGGTTATTCTGTCCAGACATCAGAAAGTCTGGTACAAAAGGGAATCACACAAATTCTTCAGTGACCCATTTTCAGCTGCGGTGCTCACTTCTGTATTACTCCAATTTCATGCCGATATTGTGGCAGCTTAATGTCAGTGGTTGCTAACTGAATGTAAGATTCAAATTCTCCACGCTCCAGAGTGCTTGGCATTGCCGAAGCTTAAACGTCGATTCAGACCTAGATGTTTTGTATCAAATGCTCATACTCCATACTGCCCAGGAAAACAGTGCAGGTGACAGTTATTGAGTTAAGCTTGTACGCTTCTCACTCCTCCAGATGAAATATTTTCTACTGATGTAATAAATAATGTTCTTTTCAGGGTTTCCTCTTTTTTTCATGGGCGGCTCTCTAGTTTAATAAACACTGGGCTTAGACAAACAGGCTGCTTTTTGGGGAACGCTGTTGTTGGTTCATCCTTTTCATGATACAAACAGGCTTCCTTTCACAGTCTCTTGCCCTAAGACCTCGTTAACTGTTTCTGAGCTCTGCTCTGACAAACTAAAGATAGTTTACAGTGCGTAGCACAGCTATAAGGAAGCGCTGGTTGGAATTAAAGAAACACAGGTCCTCGCTGTCTCCCACCCAGCTCAGACGAGACCCCAGTGCTTCACCCTTCCCTTGCCCTTAAATTCCTTGCCCGAGGAAGGAATACTTTAATAAAAACTGCAAACTGGTCCTTGTCCTGATTAAACTGTGTTCGCCATCTAGTGGCAGCGCCCTTCCATGGAGCATCCTCTGCCTCCTCCGGCAGGGCGCAGGGCAGGGGATTGCCCACAGCCAGGGGTGCCTGGGAAGCGCTAGCAGAGCAGATGCATCTGGCTTCTGTCAGCAAAGAAAACGCCCAGGTGGGCTTCAGGAAAATCCTCAAGTGGTGCCACAGTTGTAGCTTTTGTTCTGAATCGGGTCACAGTTAGAGTGCGGTTTAGTTTGGGGGAACTCGAAGTGAGTTTTTGTGGGTTGTGATGTCTCGGTGAAATACTTGACTGCCTTGAGCGATCCATGTTTTGCTTGTGCTCTGAGCTTTTTTCCACCTTTTGTGATGTTTCTGCCTTCTAAAAACCAGGATGTAATGGGAACATCAGGCTAGATTTTGGTTTTCTGCTTGTGACGGCTCTGTAATATTTGCTGTGCTCTGCCAGGCAGTCGTGTGCACCAGTATCTGTGTGACTGGGCTGCTGGGGTACGCAAACAGACATTTATAGTGGCAGACACTATCTGCAAAATAATTAGCCTGCCCTTGAACTTCAGTGGAAATGTGTTTCTTTTCCTTGAGCTTCTTCCATCATCTGCTGAGAGTAAATTGTTCGTCCTCCTTCTGAAGTACTGATGGCAGGTGATGAAAACCTGAAAGTGGAAATAAGCTCCTCACTTTGCTTCCTTAAAACTTCTGTAGTAGCCTTGGATGGAAACCAAGTCGGTCAGCACAGGGAAAGTGAAACCGAGGGGACTTGAGCTTGTAGGAAGCTGTAACATTTGCAGGCTGATATTCCCCCAAACTATCGTTTCAGGGAAAACAAGCGCTTCCGAGTGTACGTGGTGATCCCGCTGCTGCCTGGCTTTGAAGGAGACATTTCCACCGGCGGGGGGAACGCGCTGCAGGCCATAATGCACTTCAACTACAGGTACCCCAGGCAGCCCCGCTGCGGGCAGGGCCGGCGGGGACGTCCCCGGTCCCCTCTGCCTGCTGCGGGTGGTCCCCGAGGCTCCGGCTGCCCTCGGCGTGGCCGCACGCTGGGTGTTGTCCGCGTGAGCACAAGGGGTTTGGAAAAGGAGAAGGAAACTGTTTGTGTAGCTTCCACTTTGTGCTTTAGCTCGTTCGTGTGCTGGCCTCGGGGCCTGCTTTAGGAGGTGAGGCGATGCTGGCCGAGCGGGGGGGTGCGGGGGCTGTAGCCTGGTGCTCTCTGCGGGGAAATCCCTGTCGCAGTGGGTCCCCCCATCCCTTGCACAACCCCCCCAATTCCTGGCTCGTCAGCCCCTCTCTGCATGCAGCCTGCTGCCACGGGCATTCGTTTTCCTTTGAGCTCATTGAATCAGGACTTACCCCTGAGGTCTCCACCCTCCCACTCGATGGTCACGCTCCCCTTTAGGCGCTTGCCGTGGCTTTTACCGCAGCTCCTCCTGGCAGCATCCCCGTCCCCGCTGGGGACCGCATAGCCCCCAGGGTTTCTTAGCTGGGCTTTGTCTCCAAATCTGCCTTTTTGGCCAATGCTTTGCCTGGCTCTGCCCGTTGACCCCGCAAAGGCAACGCTGACTTCCCCAACGTGGTTCCGCTGCTCCAGGATGGATGTTTTTAGGGGGCACTTGCAACGCAGCAGGTCTTAGAGGAAGGACTGAGGTGCGGTGGTGCCAGGTAGCCTTGTGCTGGGAGCAGGCTGTAGAGGAAGGCAGAATAGCCCAAAATAAGACAGTTTTACTGGAAAGCTGCTGTGTTATGGTATGGCCAGGGCACAGTCGGTCTGTGGAGATTACTGCTACCTCCGGAGTGAAATCTCCCTCGTCTGCTGGTCTGCAGGAGTCCTGCTGCACCTCCAGAAGGAGGAGTGGGACAGGAGACACAAGCAGAAGGAAAGCAGCATGTCTCCGTAACCAGGCCCTTCTGCCTGAGCTTCCTTCTACCAGGGCAGCCGTAGGTCTTGAGGAATTGCCCATGGGTTGGGTTTTTTTTTTTTTTTGAAATGAGATCCCGACTGTGGCTTTTCCAGCCCAGCCATAATCACACAAACCCCCTGACCCACGTGTTGTCTTTTTGTCTTGGCGTGGTGTCACGTGCAGACCTGCGGCCCAGGTGGTAGCGGCCCCGTTAGTAACGTGTTTGTCACCATTGCTGTGTGCTCTAGAAGGTAAAGATGCTCCCCAGCTCCTACGGGGATTGGTACGAGCTCCTTTAGGAAATGAGCAGTCCTTGCTGTATCAACAGCCCTTTGGGAAAGATGTGTGCTCTGGGAGCACCGTGTTTCTTCTGCTTGCACGGGGTATTTAAAAGGCATCTGTGTTTGCAATCTACCTCACCCGGTTCTGCTGCAGCATATGCTGTTGCCTCGAGTCACGGTGGTGCTGATGGCTGCCTACCTTCTTTCCAGGACCATGTGCCGAGGAGAAAACTCAATCCTGGGCCAGCTGAAGACAGAGGGTAAGAGCTTTATTCCTGTCCTCTCTGTCACTTAGTCTTGCTTAGTGGTTTGATGGGTACATCTATAACACGTAGATTGGATTCTCCAGCTTTTTATTCATGTGGGCTTGCTGTGGCTGGAGGGGTTCAGGCGTGGTAGGATGTCTCACAGCAACGTGTGCTACGGGCTCGTGGGGCTGGTGAGCAACTCCTCCTCTGCCGTCATCCCATGGCGAGGACTGTCGGGTCACACGAGCCGTGGCCGGTTGTCGGACTTTGTGCTTGGATGCAGCTCGGATCCGGAGGAGGGGAGGACCCCAGGGAGGAGCACGGCACGTTGCAGCTGCTCAGGATCGTGTTGTTTGGAAAACGTCCTGAGCCAGGGTCATGCTTCTGGGAGCCACGAGCCCTCAGCCTCCCCCGTGAATCTCACCCTGGGTTTGTTTCTGGCAGTTGTCGAACACGGAGAGGAAAAACCTGCCCAAGCAGGATGCTGTTCCTGAGCTGCGTCCTCACCGCGAGGGTGCCTGCTTCAATTTGCTCTGCTGGGAGTCAGAGCACCGTGAAAACCCCGGCATCACAAATACTGGGGGTGTACATAATGCCTCATTCGTTCTGGGTCTTTGTGTAAATCTGAGCCGCAGACAAGTACATGAGGACATATTTTCCTGTGCGTGGACGAAACACCTGCTTCCAGCCTCCTTGCTGCAGGATCTGCAGAACAGTCGCATAGCCCAGTTATTTTAACGTGTTCAGATCAATTATGACCCGTGCTGCGCCAGGGAGATTGGGATCACTCCTCACCAACGTGGAAGTATCCGAGCAGGCAGCGGATCAGAGCAGCACAGGGAGCCCAGGGGCAGCTTTTAAAGTCTATTTTTAAAGAAACTTATTTCCATTCTCTGTTTGTTTATTGTCTTGTTTTAAAAAGTCAAAAGTGAACTGTTATTCACGTGAGTCTTTCTAGAAAGAGGGTCTTCTCTCTTCTACTGCCCTCATCCCATCGGTTTTGTTCTCTTTTTAACTTTCAGTTGGAGACAAGTGGATCAACTACATATCATTCTGTGGACTTCGAACATATGCAGAGTTGGAAGGGAAACTAGTCACAGAGCTCATCTATGTTCACAGCAAACTGCTTATTGCTGATGACAACACAGTTATAATCGGTGAGCAGGGGGCTTGCGGGAGGCGTTTGGACCACTCGATTATATCTGGATTAGTCCCTTCGCTTCTCTGCCCCGTACTCAGCGCAGGCTGCGGTGCCGTGTGCTTTTCTATGTTGTGATTTCTTTCTTGTGAAATATTTTACTGTTTAAAAAGCAAAACCACACAACACAAAAAAAAAAAACCAAACCAAAAAACCCCCAAACTCATAAATTCATCAGGAGCGTAGGTAGGAGGGAGGAAGGGATTTGGAGGGCTGTCATTTAATTTGTTTTTCTAAAATGGCTTTAAATCTCTGTGTAACAGTGAAGAGAATCCCAGTGCAGGGAATATTGTCCATCTGTCTTGTATCAAACTCTGCTCTAGCAGGAAGACTTGTGAGACTTGTCATCTGTTCCTTAAAGAACAGAATGTGCCGTAAAATTTGGAAGGTTTGGACAACATGTGTCATTTATCAGCTCCATTTCCTAAGAATGGGAAATATGTTATAACGAGTAATAGATAACACTTCATCCCTTTCTCTTACCATATTTTTTATGAGATCATGAAGCAAAGACAAGAGACCTCAGGCTCGGAGCAGCAGAAAAACAGAATTTTAGCCTGTTTCTTTAAAGAAACCCTTTTCAATCTGTTATATCAGCAACAAAAACTTTGCCAAAGAATAACTTCATACCAGATTTTGCAAGACTCAAAATACTCCCCTTCTTCAAAGCCACGGTTCAGCCCGTAGTCTCAGATGACCTGTGGTGAGGTTTGCTCTTCTGTTACCCTCTGAGGGGCCAGATCCCATCTCCAGTTCTCAGAGCAGCCCAGAGGTGCTTTCGCTATTACAGCGGGAGCAGCGCTGTTGCAGCTCCCAGGTCTGGGAGCCTGAGCCAGCTCTTAACGTCTGTTTTCTGTACCTGTAAGCCTAAGGACGGGTTTTTATACAGCGTGTGCGTCTGTGCTGGCTGGTGAGGTGACGGGGAGCCAGTATCATCCCTTTTCCACCCAAGAATGAGGTGGTGCCTGGAAGTAAGATGCTAATGGGGCCACCATGCAGGAGAGGGAGGTGAAAGGACAGAGAGGGGTTTAGCTTGTTTTCCCACCGTGTTGGCTCCCCTTGAGTTATTTCAGTCACTGGGAGGGCTACACGGCTAACTAGCGCCTGGGGGTTTCTTACGGAGCTGGAGGCTGTGTCTGGAGGTGGTTGTTGTTGTTGTTTGGTCATTTCTGTGGGTGAATGACCTGATGGCTCCTATCACTGGCTGCATCTTGCTGTCCCCTTGAAGCCAACAAGGGCTGTGGTGTCCCTCCCCATCCCTTGCCTTCTGATGGCTGCATGGGACAGAGGAACCTGTTTGGGGGACAAAGCCTCAGCTGGTCTCGAGCAGTGCTGCGGGCATCAGGCCCTTCATGGCCCGTGCTGTCTGGGGGGGGCTCTCACCGCGGTGCAGAGTAGGGCTGGAGCCACTGCGTGAGCCCAGCACCCAAACCCTTACGGGAGCGCATTTTGGAGAGGCACCCTGCCCCAAAAGGCACAGCCAGAGCCATGCAGTAGAAATGCAACGGGAGGGAAACTTCTGCTGCCCTCCAGCAGCTTTGCTGGGGACTGAAGTAGTTGTTTCCCAGGGTGCGAAGCAGGGAGCTGTGCACAGGACAACACAGGCATTCCCCCTGCACCCCTCTGGAAAGCACCCCTCTCCCTTCTGGGGTTTGGATTTTACACAGTATGCGGTAGTGCTGCAGCAAGCACAGGGCAAGGAGCAGAGAAGAAACATCTCCCATGGTCAGAAGGTCCCCCCGAGCCCTGGGGTCTGCTGCTGCCTTGCTGTGTTAGCAGGGACAGTGCCTGAGCTCTTGCATCTGTGGACACAGACGTGTGGTCCTGGCCGGCCAGGAGGGTCTGGGTGTTGGTTCCCCACAGCAAAGACGTGACGTCCTTCTTCCTAGACTCCCCCTCCCGAAAAACCCCTACCTTCCAAATGCAAATGAAAACCTTTCCCCTCTTTACACTACTCGATAAGAGCGGATTTACCCGTGGAGCCCATCCTGCATCAGGTGACTTGGTATCCGAACCAACTGCAGTTGGAAAGCTGTGACATCCTTCAGCCAAAGCACCTGGGAAGTTACAGGGAGAGTAAAATATTGGCCTGGGCTTGGCTATGGTTTAACCTGCTTACAAACATGGAGCTCTTGAAGCCTGCAAAAATTAGGGGGGTTGGTTGCTTTGTTTTTTTTTCCTCCTCCCCCAAATCCTGGCTCTCAGAGTCTGTGTTTTCCACGAGGAAGCCCTCTGGTTGGGGTTTTACCCAACGAAGCCATAGATGGTCCCCCACGGAGATGAGGGACGCAGAGGCCCCGGGTGGGGTGGTTGGTGGTGGCGGAGGGCACGCAGAAGCCCCTGGCATCGTGCTGGTGCATTGCTGGTGCTTCATTTCCCCCCCCCTTCCTCGCCAGGCTCTGCCAACATCAACGACCGCAGCATGCTGGGCAAGCGGGACAGCGAGATGGCCATCCTCGTGCAGGACACCGAGACTGTCCCCTCTGTGATGGACGGAGAGGACTACAGCGCCGGGAGGTTTGCCCAGTCCCTCCGGCTGCGGTGCTTCAGGTGGGCTGCGCGGGGCTGGCCGAGCGCGGGCAGGGCTTGCTGGGGCTTACGCCTGCCCGCTGCCTTTCCCACGGACGGGGCTGCTGCTGCCTGCTTGGGTTTAGCGTTGCCTGGCCTGGATTGAGCCCAGAGATTGAGCCTTTTACACGCCGTTCCTGTCCTCAGCTTGGCTTACAAATCCTTTTGCTGCAGGATTTTGCTAGGAGAGCTCACGAGCAAGACAGTGATATTTTGCCTCCAGATCCTGTTTTCGCGCTCGCTCAATTTTGAGTGGCAGTGTCTCTTTCTAATGGAAGTTTCTTCGCTTGGAGCAGCCATCTGACCCACCGCGCAGCTGTTTTTTCTTAAGACCTTTCTTCCCTTCACCCCCCCGCCCTTTAATTCCCATCTGGTCAGTTATGGCACGGAAAAAAAAGGAGAAAATTGAGCAGCGTTAGGGCTGATGGACTATTGCAGGGGACAGGAGTGGGAGGGCGCTGTGAGCACGAAGGGTTGGGCAAGTCCCAAGGAAACTTTTCCTCTCTTGGCGTTTCTCAAGAGAGGAGGGAGCACCTGGTACTTCAGCCTCCACGAGCATCGATTTCTTTGTCTTCTCAGGGTTGTCCTTGGCGGCTCCGATCTCAGCCCGGAACACCAGGATCCCGTCTGTGACAAATTCTTCAAGGAGGTGTGGATCGCTACGGCAGCTCGCAATGCCACCATCTTCGACAAGGTGAGGGCCACGGTGCCTTTCCCCTCCCTCCTTCCCACGTGGCAGCAGCGGATGCCAGCAGGAGAGGCAGCACGGGGAGGGTGAGGACAGCAGGTCCCGCTCCTGGGGTTGGACCTTCAGAGATGCTTTGAAGGAACAAGTCGTGTCAGATGCAGGAGCTGTGACAAAGGAACGAGTATGTGCGTCCTCAGAGCGTGACGGCAGCCCAAGGCGGCAGCAGTTCTGACTTCTCCTTTTATTTAGATAGGCTGTAGCTCCACTGAATGGCCACGGTGTACTTCTTGCTTCTAGCTGGCCACAGCGTAACTGGAGTAGAACCAAATTTTACTGCTAGTCTTTCATGAGCTTTTGCTCCCCAAAAGCCCTGGGAGCTTCCCCTCTGCCTGCTCCAGCCAAATCACAGATAGGCGCATACCTCTCCCCTCCCCATTCTCCAGGCTGATAATTAAGTCACTCCCATCCCGGGGAATTTGTGTTAGATGTGTTGGTCGTTCTCAGGAACTCTGCATTGCAGTATTTCCCCCCCCTGCTGACACGCCACTTCTTCTTTCTGTTTTGATCAGGTTTTCCGATGCCTTCCCAGTGACCAGGTGAACAATTTAACCCAACTGCGTGATTTCATCAACAAGCCCAAATTAGCGAATGATGATCCTGCGAAAGCAGCAGAAGAATTAAAAAAGATTCGTGGTTTTTTAGTACAATTCCCCTTTCGTTTTCTGGAGGAAGAGTACTTGCTTCCTTCTGTGGGAACAAAGGAGTCCATGGTACCCATAGAGGTTTGGACTTAAGAAGATGCAGACTACTTTACATTTCAAAGTTTCTTCTCTAGGGTCAAGCTGATGAACGATATGGGATTTTAGAAAGCTTTTTATTGCTAAGGGAGGCAAAAAAGATCTCCACCAAGCTAATGTGCCTTCTTAAGGATTTTGGTGGAGGAACTTGAAGCAAATTGACACTAGCAAAGGAGAGGAGCAGAAAGACTTGGAAATTATGGCCAATGAGAAGTTTGACCTCTGAAGGAGTTACTGCTTAAGACACGTTCTGAGCACCTAAAGGACGCAGGCCACTTCCTAGGACAGGAAGCAAATCCCAGTCCATGTTGTTCCTACTGCCCGTGTGGTTGCATACGTACTGTGCTCCTGCTGGGGCTGCGCAGGGGTCGTGGGCTGCCTGTGCTTCTGAGGCTTTCGGGTATCTGCGCCTCGGCTCGCTGGAGTCCCCCCATTTCACCCCTTCGTACGCTGTCAGAGCCCGTCAGGCAGCTCTGGCGCTGTCGGGAAGTGCTGCTCGGTGCTGCCTTGGGCTGTCCTACAGCTTGACGAGTGTAGGCCTTTCACTTCTTGAAGGGAGACGGCCTAACAATCTTGTACCAGAATCGGCATTTTTGGTCTCTTCTCCCTTCAGGGCGGGGGAAAAACCCCTGTTTCTACCCCAGCTAGAGCAATCAGCAGTCCTCACGCAGCGTGGCACTGCCTAGGTCTTGGCAAAGGGCGGCCTCGGCGGAGCCGGAGGTGCTGGAATTCACTGGAGCTCGCTGGCCTTTGCAGACACACAACGTGTCAGTCTGTTCAAACAGCGCCTGAAGGCTTTCTCCGGGAGAGGATCAACGTTTAGACTCAAGCCTTAGATCTCTGGAGCTGAAGGAACGCGAGGCACTGCATGTGACGGGACAGAAACTCAAAAGCCAGCATGGGCCGAGCTGAGCCCTGAACTCTGGGCCCTCAATTCATGCGTTTCTCCTGCAGTACACAGGCAGACTTTTCTTTCCATCCCTTTCCTCCCTGTTTTAAAAGAAAAGGCCATTAAGCTAGAGCTGACACCGTGCTCAAACCGAGCTGCTGTGTCCCTTTGTAGATGGGGTGACTGCAAGGGGGAAGGGGAGCGGTTAGCAAAGCCTTGTCTCTGGTCTGCTTCGTTGTTAGAGCAGCCACAATCTTGAGCTCAGTCGTGCAGAACGCGTCTCCCCAAGCACAGGTAACACTCAGCAGGCCCAGTCCTGTTTTCCATTTCTGTAAGGCAGTTTCCAGAGCTGTTTTGCATCTCCCTGGGCAGCGAAGCAGCACTTCGATTCACCATCCCTGGGCAAAACACGACCGCTCCTGGGTCGGGACCTGGCATGGCTTTGCTCCGTCCTCCGTCCTGCAGTGCTCCGTGTCTCCCAGTTCCACGTCCAGCTCCAGCTGCAGTGCCGGGAGAGATGTTCCCCAGAGATCAGATGGTGAGAAACACCGAAGGAGAGTTGGAGGTGGAGGAGTGGGAGGCTGAGCCCCTCTGCATCGGGGCAACCCCTTCGCCAGCTGGGTTTAACCCTGTGCCCGCCTCTCCGTCGTCATAAGACCTGGTGAACAGGTATTCACTTTAGTTCACAAGCAAATTTAGGGTTGGTTTTTTTTCTCCTTTTCTGGCTCTTCCAACAGTCTTGCCTGTTTTTAACTGGAAAGAATCATACCGGTCGCTTAGCTGTCCCCGAAACGGCATTTCAGCTGATTGCCTTCTGTGTCTTCAGACCTGTAAATAGGCACCAGGTGATTCTGTACCTGCTGCGTCACCCGAGTGAGCAACAACCCCAGACCTTCTGCCAGGGCAGCCTGAGCCTCAGCCCCTTCCTACAGTTCCCGCTGTTTGATGCTCACGGGTTTTAGATGCCGTTGCAGATTATGCTCCTTTCTGGTTGTGCCTCTTGCGGCCTGGTGAGCCCGCGGGAAGCGCACGTGCAGCGTTTGGTGTGATGATCTGCGGTCCGGGGGGCTGGTGCTTTTAGCAGGCACACTGTAACCAGATACTTCTGTTCCCTTGATTTTTCTTTTTTTTTTCCTTAAAAAAATTGACCTGGGGTCACCCCCTGCAGAGCCAGAGCAATATGTGCCCCGACCATTTGCAATCAAGAAAGATCAAAGGTGTCTTGTTATTTCACATCAGTGCTAGTTCAGAGCTTTTCTCTCCTGATACGTTTTTATCTGTTTCAGTTTGAACAAAGCTGCTAACTTTAAACAATTACAGCCTGTCAGAGAGCCGTGGTAAATCGCACAGATCTGTATTGAGCGTTGAAAAGGAAGCGTTCAGCCCCGCCACCCCTGCACGTGAACCTCGAAGTACAAGACTCCTGTCGTCATCTAAGTGCTCTTATTGTTCCTGTCCTCATATCTGCAAAGGTTCTTGTAATGGTGAAATTATCCTTATATTGTCTTTTAAGGTGGTAGGTAGCTAATTATTTGGGCTTCGTAACTCCAGAGGTATTGAGTCGCCCTCTGCCAGGCTGCTTTGGGGAAAAACCACCCAGGTTCTGCGACCCTCCGCCCACCATGTGGTGGCTGCTGGTCCCAAGCGACACAGCAAAGCCATGGAGGAGAGATTTAATTGACTGATTCTGTATGAAAAGGTGCTAATTAAGAAGGTCCTTGGTTATTGGAGTAGCAGACGGGCCTCATGTTCCTTGGCTCTCTGTCCAGGAGGAGGTTTCCCCCGGTGGGAGCAGAGGAGCCGCGCTGAACGTCCCTTCCCTGCGTCGGTGCTGAATTCCTGATCCCGGGGGTTTAGTAACGCTCGGATGCAAGCGAGGTGTGCGAGGCAGCCTCCGCGCCGTGCAGAGCGCCGGGCACCCCCAGGGGCTCGCGGGGCCACCAGCCTCCCCGGGGACGCTGCGCTGCTCGCCCCGAGCAGGCGACGGGGCTGGAGCCGTTTCGGGGAAGGCACCCGCGGGCTGGGCTGGTCGGAGCTGGCTCCTTGGGTCCTGCCAATGGGAGGTTTATTTCTTATATTAAGAAGCCTGGGAGGTTGAACCCCTTGAGAGAGTTAATTTCTGCACCTCAACAATCACTGCTTTCTACTTTTTAGCCCAGAATACCGGCATGGGTTTATTTTTAATACCTTCAAACTGGAGAGGATCGCTCGCCGATATACAGTACTGTAACAAGTGATGTGGATTCCAGCACTAGCAAACCCAGAGAGAGAGTTTGTTGTGGCATTTATTCATTAGAACTATAGGAAATGAGAACTTGTCCCAGGCTCAGACTTTATTTTGTAGTTCAACCTGAATAGAACACTTTTTTTTTTTCTTTAATTTATTCCTTAACACGTGCCACTTTGAGAACTCTCCTTACCATATCTTTTTTAATAGTCTGATATTTTAAAATGTGTCTTTTATTGTACAGATGTCGGACTGGATAAATGTTGCACTGTAAAGTTAATGCATGGTTTAAAAAATGAGGGATAAAATGTCATCATGTGTAAGAACTCTACTAAAAAATAGTTTATTCAACTACTCCAGTGCTCCATGGCGGATGCAAAGTGCTGAGCTCAGTTTCTGGTCTCTTGGTCTCGGTTTGTCACCTGACTGGATGTGACCTTTGCTGGATTAAACTCCGAACACTCCATTTTCCTTGCTTTTGATCAGGTTTCACGACATGATTTTGCAATCCTGGTGCTGTCCCTGGGGGCAGACCTCAGTGCAGGTTTTGCCTCGCTGGGACCCTGACGTTAATAATTTACAGTCTCTTTAGTCCTTCCAAGGGAACATCCGTTACAATCAAGCTCGGACGTGGTTTGTTATCGTTGTTTCAGCGCAACAAATCTCTTGTGCTCTTGTAGTTAGGGCAGTCGGGGGGGTTCGTAATCAGAACCTGCCTTTGTGGGGACATCGAAAGTCGGGATGGTCCTTCAGGTTAACGCCGTTTCCGTCTCCTCCTGCCGAACGTGAAGACCCAAGTCCACCCTGGTCTGCGCTGACACCTCCCCCCTCAGCTGCAGAGCTGCTGCGCTGGTTTTCTGGCAGAACGGGCTTGGTCTGCAGGACGCAGCGGGTGGCCAAGGTGAAGAAAGCCAGTGGTCTTCAGGCCGGGTGTGCGGGTAGAGGTTGGCGCCTCTCGGGGGTCCCACAAGATGGGAACGCACACCCCCGTCTTGGGACGCTCGTCCCGTGAGTCGTTTCCAACGAGCGATCCCTTCTGCGCGGCCGAGATCCTGCTGGAACCGGGAGCTTGGGCGGAATCGAGGTTTGAACCAGGAGCGCAACGCCGTGGCGGCGAGTCGAGCTGAGCGAGCGAAACTGAGGTGTGTCGAAGGGGAGCAGGCCCACAAACTGTACGTCGACCGCTGAATGCAATGATCCTCTTGGGGTTTCTCTTTTTTTTTTTCTTATTTGTTCTTATTTCCCTGCCTGCTTTCTGTTTGTATATTCCAGTGTTGGTGATTATTCTATTTTTAACCTCCCAGCGTGTTTTCGTAAAATCTCCATGTAAATAATTCCAACTTACCTCTTTCCCGACACTTGGGAAATGAGGAAAAAGTGTTGAAAGTCACAGTTCTGGGAATGTTTTTGGGTTTTGTTTGTTTGGTTTGGTTTTTTTAAATCATGTCTCTAGCTAAACTGATCAACAGAAAGAGAACTTCCACTTCGGGTGTGAGTGCAGGTCTCCGTGCGTCTCTACCTTCCGACGGTGCCGTTGTGAACACAATATCCCTTCTGTGAAGGCTGCTGGAATTGTTTTGTATCCTCGTTTCTGCTAACGATCGCTTTCCTTTCCACTCTGTTTGTATCTGGTAAATGAATGTGTATTAATGGACTGAAAATACAACTGATCATCATGTCGAAACGTTTGGCTTTGGTCTCGTTTCTGCTTGTTTTGGGGACTGTGGCCGCATCCTGCTTGTGGGCTGAGTTCTGCCTTGCGTTGGCGGTGCTGCGCCAGCAGCCAAGACGTGATGGAAAGGCCCAGGGTCGCAATAAAAATGGCTCTACTTGAGTCGTTTGGGTTTTCCTGGGAGAGGGAAATTGCCGGAGTGGAACAGC